CGTTTGCAATGGCGCAGGTGCATCCACTCTTTGTGTTCTCCCAAATTTTGATCTCCTGATTCCCCCTTGTCTCTTTTTTATCTTCCCAAATTTATTTCACTGTATTATACTCTTTAAGTAACATCTCCAAACACTAATCTTCCCGATTACTGCTTATACTCTTATTACCTCTACCACTACGGGATTTGAATTGACCACTGCATCTCTGTGCTAATGTGGTGTGGCAACTCGAACTGATGTGCGTACGTACGAAGTTCTACGTTGTTACTGACTGACTGACTGACTTTTTGATTGGTATATAAACTCAGTATTTTTGAAATATTATGATTCATATGTCAGAGGCTCGGATTGGTGTTTTGGAATCAACTGGCTGTGCTAGAGAGGAAACACGACCAATCAGGAATCTAGGCTGCTTTTACGGGTTTACGCGTCTTTGATCTGATCAATGACTCACTGTCGTCTAATCGGCGGTCACAGATTTAAGCCTTGTTGTTATTGTCACAATTAATACACCTGTCAACACATTATCAATTAGTAATTTTTAATTATTATGTTTATTCGTGTAATACATTCCACTGTTGTCTCCTGCTCATAAATTGTCTTGATTTTTTTACTAATTCAGTATACGCATATAAATATTACTGCATATTCGAGGAAAACCTGATAAAGATCTTATTGAAGACAATATTACTTGTTTATATATGTTATACTTCACAATATGGGAATGTTTTATAATTTTTGATATATTCGTATACGATGTTTATTGGTTTTGCTAAACTACTTCAGTTTTTTGTAATGTTTCTACTGGATGTAATGGTTTTAAACATGTGTCATTAATTGATGACGATAAACAGAATTTAGCGTGCTCTATTCCTTTTATTTCAGTACTATAGACTTACATTAGCAGGTAATATAAAGGAACAGGTAATAGGGTTGTATTCTTTGTTTATTTCATGTGGAGTATTATTCCAAAGAGAGGTTTCGGTGATCATGGGAAAAAAGAAATTGAAACATATATTCGTGCTTGTATTAAGTAACTGCGGACAATATATTTCATTCAGAATGTTTTCGTTTTGAAAATGGCTCACTGCATTTTGTCCAACTTATGAAATTCCTTTATTAGTTGACCAAATAAATTTGTGCATTGGATAAGTTCACATGAGAAACTAAACTTAATATCGCTAAACGACTGTCGGGTATATGAAGAGTGACAATACGTACAACCAATTTAATTTAGCAGTCATCTAGAAGTTTGTGTCCCAGACATGTTCCTATTGTTTAAATGTTGTTTATACTAACTAACCTGCCAAATCTTTATTAGTGATTGTGGGTCGGAACTTGCGAAACTAAGTGGTTGAAAATCTTGAGTGACAAAATTACATTAATATACTTCTATAGAATACTATTATTTGGTAATTACCTCACCCTGACCAGGTATTTTTGGAAGTGAGATTTGGGTTATTTAAGCACTAACGATTTATCTCGTTTTTTTCTGGGCCGTTATATTTAGTATAAAGATTAAGCTAGCTTCATAGATAAAATCGTTCAAATCATTATTTGGCTGCTTACTTGAACTTACTAGTGTCTCCAAAAGTTGTATTATTGTTCACATATATCACGATTTTGATCTTAAAAAATTAAACCTTTTCAAAGTGAAAGACTACTAACTTGTGTAAAATGTTGACCTAGATTTGTGATTAAGGAAGTTTACTCTGACAACTTATTTTGCTGTGACAAATTAGAACTAGGATGAGTGACCCTGAACTAAATTTGTTGAATTTATCAATCAAATCAAGGTTTTTAATTAAAATAGCATATACTTGATGAAAAGAACGAAGTTAATACAGTTTGTTTAGTGTATGGTGAGTCAGTGAGTTAACATTATTGCTGATATCACAATCCTTCTCACTAAACATCATTTCACTTTTTTTTCAATAGATAATGGGTACTACAGTACACACTTATAATGTATCCTAAATTAATATGTATAATCTTTTTTCTCTTTTATTTGTTGTATTAGGTTGCTTGTTATTGTTTCTTCATGTCTTTTTCAAATCAATAGATAAGGGATATGCAAACTGCTAGTCCTGATATTCTTGTGTCTGTTACACTTCTGGTATGCGCACATCGTGTCCAAGAAGCGGTTGAATTATTGTTAAGTTATGACAGAGTTAAAGAAGCTTTAGTTCTCGCTCGTTTACGTTTAAATCCATCCGAATCTTGGAAATATGCAGAGAAATGTATTACACGACTTATTGAGCGTTCTTGTTCAAATGAAAAGTCGTTCTTTTTTATTATATACAATATTGGAAAGAAGGAATGGCTGAATGCCACTAATATGGTTCACCGTGAAGTTGAAGTTTCCAACTTGCGACCTGGTAAAGAAATTGAACAACTTTCGTGGTGTTGGATTGGTATTAGTCTTCTACTTAATACATCATCCTTGGATTATTTGTCAAGCGAATGTCTTCGTTTAGCTTCAATGTGTTTAACGGTTGGTTTTAAGCTATTTCCTACGGAAGCAATATTCCTTGAACGTTGGCTTGATGCATTTTCACGTCTTCTGTCGTCTGAGACAACATCTTGCTCCGGTTTGATTGGCAGTTTATTATTGTTAGATATTGGCCAGATGACTTCTTTTCTTATGGCTAACTATCATCAAGAGGAATCTGACATAACAATACCATACGAAAATCATAGTCATAACTGGATGAAATACATAAATCCTGATTGTATAACATGTTTGGACCGGTTAGTTTCAGATCGTCAACCGTCTTCATTATGGGAAGTTTGTTTAACAAATTTCTGTGTAGACTTTCTTTTGTTCTACTTAGTGCATAATCATGTTCCTCCAACTAAATTACCATCGGATAATTCACTGACAATTTATATTGATCGATATGAGTCTAGTCGGAAATCATGCGAGTATATCAAACCAAAAGAAACAACATATTTAATCAGTCATTTATTTTCAACTTATCAACAGGCCTTGGTGAATAATTACTCCACTTCGGATAACAAGTTATGTTTTTCTCCTTCAGATAGTGTGTAAAAATACTGTGATTATATATATGCCCCTTGAATATTTTGTATACTTATCTTTATAAGCTTCTGCATTTCGGGAATTTGTAAGATATGCATTATGTACAGGATAAATAACAGAATAAATATAGTTTGTACTTGAGATTTTCTGTTTTCACTTGATTATAATTTTGTCGTTTTATTACTTCATAATTAAAATGACCTGATTGGAAACTGTTCGAGCTAACCAGTTTGCTTGCTTGCTTTGTTAATGTATTTAATCTTATAACACTGGATACTCTTTTGTTACCAATGCGTTGCTTTATCGGAGTTTTAACTCCATCTGAGGGAAATTTGTGTCTTACGTATGGCTATCATGGCTCTGAATACCTTCATCCTTATGGGTCTAATATTTAAAGGTCCGTTTGGTCCAAAGAATAGGTTCAGGTTTTGAGTTCTGACGATAATGTAAGGTATCTTAAATTAACTGATCCTAAATATACTGGGACATCCATCTTCAAACCCAGTAATGACTGCCTATGAAGCTGTCTTTTATCCTGACAAACTTGGATTTTGAAATGAGCTTACTCATTATGCTGGGTATTGGTTCAGTAGTACGTACAAACGATTCAATTAGTATACAGCAATTTCATTGATTGTATTATCGAATTGTGTACAGTTCTAGTAAATTGTTTGTTTATTAAAATTATTGTAGTGACCGTAACAATTTTTTATCCGTCAAGTCATCGAATCCCGAGTAAACAGATACTTACCAATAAGATCTGTCACCAACTGCCGAACTGTTAGGTGATTTAAACTATTGTTAACATAAATAGTATCTAATCATGGTAGTGTATAAAACGACTGATAAAGGGTGAAAATAAAATTCACAAAGCAGACTATAGTCCTTCAATTCTCTCCGTCATATCAAGTTTAAACTACAGAAAATCATCACATACTTAGTTTATTCAGGTGTCTAATAATCTCTAATTTCCAGTTGTTTCGATTGGTTTCTATTCATGGTGATAACTAACATCTAACTGACTAGAAAAACTTCCTTTATTAGTAATCTAGGTCTAATACTCGTAGTTTTCAAAACTAGTGTCCTATTTGTGTATGAGTGACTAGTCTTTAGAGTTGCTGTTTCACAGTTCTGCTAATAAGTAAACAAAATGCAGCGACCGACTAATAATTAATTAACCTTCATTTACTAAACATTGGAGCAAAACTTTGTCTCAGTAGATACGATATATATGGACTTCAACATGCATCGAAGTTGCCATATCCCACGCCATATCAGCTTGAACTATATAACTATATACAACGATATGTAGTTATTAAACAGCCTGTTTATTAAGATAGCCACAACTTAAGTTATTAAGTTATTTTTTTCGCATTCAAAGTGCTCTAATGTTTTGTATATTGTAATTGTTAACTTGATTTTTCGATCCTTCAATCAAATTTACAGAATTTAGATGTGTATGGAAATTGGTGTTCATGGAATTTATAGGTTTAACAATGTCACTTAGGGTGAGTTTACTGGTTTAAACTTCTCAATGAGTGGCGTGCAATCGATTGTTGGATTTTAACAAATAGACTGAAAATATCATATCAAATGGTAATCACTGAGATATGATTCTTTTGATGAAAAACCGTTTTTTATATTACTAGTTCACGTAGTCAGATATAAACAATAGTTAGCATGTCTTGCTTATTATGAATCACTTGTACATATCTTTTCCAAATGAATTTGAAGACATTGTTTTGTAAGAAGATGGCTTCATTTAGTGTCATTCGTGTCAATGATGTTAACAGAAGAAACTAATAGTTTGCATCGAATTTACTTGGTCATTACCTCCTAAATTAAATTACATTATCAGTTGCTAATATTACGGTAATCTTCATAAAAGCAAGAGTTTTCCGGTTAGAATTTTTTTGTATTTACGATGTCACTTTAAAATTCGGTATTACTTTCACTAGAATAAATGTTCGATATCTGGAAGCGACCAAATCCGTCCACTTCAACACTTGAGGAGGTTCAAAATGAGATGCAGTCAGGAATGGCATCAAAAAGTGTAAGTACTCATCACTCTGCTTGGGAAGAAGAAACTACTTACAAGGAGACTTTAGTTAAGTGAGTATATATAACCTCACTTTTAAAAAATGTCATTTGACCACTGTTGTTAATGTATTTATGAATAACATAGTTTAATTATTCCTTGGATGTCGTGTAGTTTTTTTGTTGTTGGGATTAATGTAACGTGATTGTTTGGTATATGAATATGTTCTTATACTGATTGGTTAGTCATCTTAGTGTTCTTCAAATCATCATATGCGTCAACATTGGAAATCATACCGTAACATTGATGTTTCTCATTATTTTATTAATGTCAACTTTCGTTGCACCTCTGGTCCCCAAAATCTTAATTCCTGAGAGATAAGTTATCGTTCGAACTGTCATATTTCACTTGAAAAAGGGTAAGCCTTTTAAATACGCAGTGTACAACCACTAAACTTAAACAGCATTTTATCTCCTTGTCATTACATGGATGTTTGTGCTAGGATAAGAAAAATGGTATATTTCTTGATTATTTGCCTATTTGTACTGTTATAACGCCCGGTTTTACTTCGTCCATACGTACGGGGACGTTAATTTACATTAAACGAATATCTACACTAGATTCCCTCCTAGTGTCAATTCTACAGGACTTCAATACAACTCAGAACAAGAACACGTGATTAGCCTGACTAGAACGTAACTGTATTTTCACGTCAAAACCAGACACAATTTAACAACAATGAACAATCAATAATAAATAATACGGATAGGGGAATATATAACTCATCTAACACCTGTCCAACTATCTACAAGTCTGACTATGCAAACAACCAATCATTATCATTCTCGCCCACACATCACTTATCGTCGCGGTAGTTTCATTTTTGATGTATCACACTTATTATTATTATTGAAGTCAGTTATTTGACTTCCGTGCATGTAAGAATTTAGTAGGGGAATCGATTTTATTGTCTTGTATATGCTACTATTTGAGTTTGTTTATGCTGGTTTCACAACTATTCATCCTGCCGTTGTTTTTCCGATAGGCTGTTTCAGACGTTATGTTTTATTTGTCAAGCTTTCCTTTCCAATTAATGAAAGATTCAGACATTTTCGGTAAATCAGAAGAGGTTAAATATTTCGATTCTGTTTTTGTGTCATTTTTATCATGTAATTTACGTAGCTTGGATTAATGCATACATAAATTGTTTTCTACTGTATAAAGATTTTTAAACCGTTTTTTATAGTTATATTCTAATGGATTTTGAATTTTTTTAAGTGTAGAAATATGTCTCATTTTTCGGACATACGCGCGATTTTCATTTAAATTTGAATCATTAGTTTTTCGCTGGCTGCTTTGTGCCTTATTCTATCGGTCTATCACCAAACTGATGACTCAGTAGTAGTAGTCCAGTTTTTTAGCTCAGCTTAGATTCTTGGTGTAAACGAAGCAAAAAGGCTAATGAGTTTCGATTTTATGGTACAAAGGACTAGTCAGTTTAGAAAATAAATTTTAGGGGTAGATTGGCAGACTGTGTCCTCACATTTAGTATTTCTGAGACTCAATTTAATTCACTTGAAGTTATCTGGTTTATTTTTATTATTTATTTATTTGAACACGTAAATATTGGTACAAAGGGGCACCAAATATATATGAGCCACCCGAAACAATTAGAATGGGAAGAAAAAAGGAAGGTAAGAAGTGTAAAGGAAAAAAGGAGAACAATAACGACGAGATTAGTGTAGGGTAGTGTAAAATAATATTAACAGTAACAATAATAATAATAATAATTAATAATGGGGGAAACGGAGAGGTACAATCAAAATAAATCTTTCAGTTATGGAAGATACAACCACTTTTGTTATGAAGAAAGTAAAAAAAGGTTACAGCAGGATCACCACTGACTTCTATCCTGAGCCATATCTGATAACGTCTCTAGCCACTGTGTTGCACCATCTCTCGGACCCCAGCCAAGGAGTCGTGAAGGACCAACAGAAGTCAGTCCTTTGGAGCTTTCTTTCATACCACGACACCATGTCATACATTGACCACCTCTCCGTTTTTCCAACCAGTCCCAGAGTTGGCAAATAATGCGCGACGTGGAATTTTCTGGCACGACATTCGTAGAACATGTCCAAGCCACCGAAGTCGATGTTTCAAGATGGTGACACCAATTGGATTATCGTCTCTGCACCCGAATACACAATGCCGAACCTCTGCATTACTAACATTGTGTTGCCACTGGCTGTCAGCAATCCTTCGGAGACAACGAAGATCAAACACAGAGGGTCGTTTAACATCGTCAAATCGGAGAGGCCAGGTTTCACAAGCATAGAGCAAAATGCTCTCACCAGTACGTTGTAGATCCGACCTTTTGGAGCCAGACTGACATCACGAAGGCGCCAAAGATAGCCCATATTCGCATAAGCCGCCCTAGCTTTCACTATACGTGCATTGGTCTCATCACTCACGCCACCACCAGCATTTATGCCCTGCTATGGTCGAGAGTGGGATTGGCCCGCCCTCTTCCTCGTAATGCTCTCACACGGCCACCCGTATACAGATTCTGCCAAGGAAGTCCTGCTTACTGCCTTCTCGTGGCGGGGGTGTTGTTTACGAAGATGAGAGGACGAAAAGCGAATGTCCGGAGCTTTAACCGGATCACAAACCAATGGTGCACATGAGCTCCAGTATCCTGTGGGAAAAAATGGCGTATGAACCAATCGTTGGTCACCGGCTACCATGGGACTGCAACTTCTCACGATGATCCAGTGCCTTGTGGGTTAGTCTTTTAGGTCAAAGTCTCGGGATGTGGCCCCCTAAGAAAACAACCTTCTTCGGTTTGGGTACCCGGGTAGTATCACAGCCCACACAAATAAAGTTAAAATGACGATGTTTACTGAAAATTCTATTCACGATTCGACTAACAAGATTCATATTATTATTATTATTATTATTATTATTATTATTATTATTATTATTATTATTATTATTATTATTATTATTATTATTATTAACCTTATCTGGTTTATATTGGATGCTTAGTGTTCTGATCGGTTGTATTCATCATTTGGTACTACTATATATAATTTCTAATATACTTAGATCAACATCTTACTCCTTTACTTAAGTACTGACAAAACGAAACGGTATATAACAGTCTATCAAATAAATTAGCTTTCACTTCACTCACTTTTTTAATTACGAATCTCTACTCTACAGACTCTTATTTTAACATAGGGGCTACTAAATTAGTAATTCATTTTGCGATTAGAACTTTACTCTTATATGCATGTAACTAAAACATTAATGTGATTTGTTGCCATCTCATTTAAACACTAGTAGGCTAAATGTAACTGCGCGTTTATCAAGCACTCAGTTTGAGCGGGAATCTTGAATTTCTCGTCACAATTCAGCAATCATATAATTTTTTAGTTGATCTTTTGATTCCAAATTTTCCGAGAAATAGTCAATGTAACCTCAAATCCTTTGGTTTAGTAATATTTTTTATAAGCTTCATGTATATTTATTGTTAACATAATATCTTTGTTACTAATATAATATTTTGGTGAAAATAATTCTCATCACACATTGTAATTGTTATTTAAGTTAGTTTTCATTTCTACCATGTACCCTTTACAGGACAAAACGTACTGATTTTACGTATGGCGATAGGTACGTTCTTAAACTTAATTGCTTTTTTTCATACCATTTTTATCCCATCTGAATACTAGCCAAAATTAAATTTATTAAAAACCCAAGATCTATTAAACCAAAGTTAGCTCCCAGTGCCAAGTACATAGTAACTTCAGAACAGATATTCAAGTTTGTGACGAGAATTCCCGTTTTTAAATCTTATAATTCATTGCTCGAATCTTTTGATACCTGCGTTTTCATAAACTAAGTCATGCTTTGTCGTTATTTAGTTGAAAGACGGCTTACTGGATTATGAAAATAAGGTTTATCTATGACTACTACCATTTAGGCATATGGCTTACAAATTTACATTCAGAAGGTAATACTTATCTAGTACTCTTTGGTTTTTGAATTTTATTGAATATTCATCAGTTTTCACTGAAGATTACCTCATACTTCATAAATACCTATTAGGATTTGTGGATAAGTTGTGTTTAATAAGTATTTAGACGCAAAGCAAGTAATCAAAATGGAAAATGATTTGGGTTTTAATCTTAACTTATTTCGTAAACTGGAATCTGAAACGTGTATATTGTTGGTTTGAATTCAGTTGCAACTCAGATCCTCTCAATCATACACCTTCTTCGTCATGCAGTGCAAAAGTCAGTCAATCACAGCCTCTTTAAATGTCGTAGTTACAAAAGAAATTTTGTACGGGATTTGTCTATTATTTGTTAAACTATCCAGATGTTTACTAAAGACTGTCGGAAAGCAGCGGGCTCCTATGGGTTAGCGCAGTAAATCTTTAAGGATGGTGACCTGGTTTTACTAGCCTAATGGACTGTGATATTCGCTAGGGTTTTAGGGGATTAGCATAATTCTGTCTGACTGGTCTCGACTGATAAACATTCCAGTTTATATGGAAGGAAGAAAATCTAATAATCGCAGAGAAATCGGTTTATTGTGTCTATATTAGTGTCGATTATACTAGTGTCTCTGATTAACCGACCCTCAACCAAGGCTTGTGAAAACCAAATCTTGGGAAACCATTCTGGTTTCGGAACTGGACGTGATGTATTGACCAAATATTAACTCTTGCTCTGGTTTTAGAACACAGGCGTAGTTAACAACGTTCGATTTTAATTGCTTTTCTTGACCTTAAGGCAACATCCAACTTTGCTGATTGTCACGTTTTATGGCATTGTCTGCCATTGAAAGACATACGAAAGAAGTACAGAAACCCTGTGAAGATTCTACTCGAACACTATTGGTGACTCAATACTTACGACAAACTCTTAAAATTGTCAACTGCATGTTGTGTTTGACCGGTTGTCCACTTTCCACATTTTTGTTTGATGTTGTCGTAGATATTTCTCTACAGATAAAGTTGTCTCTAACTTTTCAAGGATTTATCTCCTACCAGGAGGTTTGCTTATGAACTCGGAATACTCAGATTATATAGTCTTATTTGGTGCAGGCGCTTATAAAATGAGTTCTTTTGACTACCATGAACAACAATGCAACTATGTTTGGCATGCGTTTCTCTCCCTCTAAATGCAAAACATGGCTTCAGGACTGGTCTGCATCAACTCTTGAACTCTAGTGATTTGGAGGAAAGTAGTTAAATGCATTGAGCATTTCAGTTAGAAGTTTCCTCAGTCCTAATGGGATGACGTCTGACGAAATCTTGAAACGAATTCACTAAGGTTGGTTAGCGTTTGCCGATTCGCGTCGCATATGGGATTGACATGATATTCGTCTTCTAACCAAAGGCATATATACTCCACAACAGTTTGCTCTTTTCTACTTGGTGTATAAAAGTAGAGCACGAGTAGTCTAAAGGTTTTTGACCATATATGACCCTAAAATATTACTCGCATATGGGCGGACAACCGAGTAAACATTTTTAAAGTAAAGGAAAGGGCAGTTGGCATGGGTGGCAGATCGATTATGTGATAGTAAATCTTTATCGACTTAGGTAGTTGGAATATGCGTTACATATGCCCAATCACCCATCTTCCTCTACGGGTTACGCTTGATAGTATAAAAGTAGGTTGGAAGAAAACAATGAGCGGCCAATCCAAAACGTCACATCAGTCCACAAAGGCGTTGACTGTTGGTCTTAAGCCATGCTGGTAAATTCAGCCTACCTGTGTAGGGTCCGCGTGATAACCGCGAACGTTGAGTGGAGACTTTCGGTGGCATTACTTAGAATCGTTCATGTTGGCACATATGCATTCACACTTCATCTCTTGATACCGAATCTCAGTATCTCTTCCGAAATACTTTTCTATTATGTGGTTCTGAACATTATTACCAATATTTAGTCCGTCTTACTATCACTACTATTAAATAGCTTCTATTCATTTACTATTCAATTTATTTTCATTTCCTCGTGCTAATCGGGTGTAGCAACTTTGGTCAACTTACATTTGTGCAAGGCTTTATGTGAATGATATCTGTCTAACTTTTCTTGTTATAATTTAATACCATCTAAACACACATCACTTGTAATGTCAGAACTGATTATACAGTAAAAAGTATTTAAATAATCTTAAGGTATTCATGCATCAGCATTAGGGATTCTGTTCTGTATTATCATAGACAGACGTCAGATATGTAAGATCTGGGACAAATATGTGTTACTTATCACACTTCACATTAGCTCATTTCCAAGCCGGAGTAGAAGTTCATAAATTTATGAATTGACATTTTTCTCCTTGGTTCGTCCATCCTTTAAATTTTGACTCACTCCTATCTTTATCAGCGTAGCACTTTAGAGTTGGTTGTAATTGATTTTGTATGATGCATTTTAATTATTTCAATCTATCAGAATTTACAGCTTCATTGTTATTCACTCAGTCGTTATACTATGCTTCAAAGTTAATCTACATATATCTCCTCAATGACTATTTATTTTATATCTGTAAATCGATGCAAAACGTAGTTCTGTATTTTATATTCTTTCCTTAATATAAAAATGGGTTGAATCATCCTGTTAATTGTTGTTCTACTAAAATACATTTCATAGGTTGGTTTTGAGAGATATTTAAACTAAGTAGTAGTTTACGTCTAAATCTCAATCATCCGTTTCTTTCAGAGTTGTCAGTAGTTAGATAATTTTATTAATTTCATATGAAAATATAAAACGCACTACTTTTATGTAGTTGTTTCTCAGTTTTTCTGTTTTAGAATAAATGATACATCTATAAAGGATAAATCTTTTATGGTTGATATTTTTGATCCCTTCATATTTGTGAAAAATAAGCACCGTTACTAGTCATCTTTTTAGAAAGTCTTCCTCCTCTCAAACTCTCACACCCATTCAAATTTAAAATTCTCTCGTTATTCAACTATTTTTTTTTACAAAATAAGTCTTTCTGTTATTTAGCCCTCTTAAATCTTGAGAACTGTTCATGGATCATATATTATTGCACGAACCTGACTGTTATTACCAGATCAAGATTTTTCAACAAATAATTCATATTTTCAAAAAGAAGTCTATCATGTATCCAAATCCATATATGGTACTTCCTGCTTATATATAGGATTAAAACAATGTATTATATCAATAACTGTTCGTTTAGATTAATCATCAATGGTTCCTTTCGATACTCATCATATTGATCTAGAAAAATTGTATATTTTACTTAACATAAGCTTACACGCATTAGTGTTGCCTTCTCTCATTCATTTATGATTTAACTCACATGATATTTTTATGGATATTTTATGATAAATGATTTTTTCTGTATGTAGAAGTTTTAAGTTCTGTCTGTTGTGGACAGTTTACAAAGTACGTTTGCTTAGTGTCTTCAGTTTTACGACTGTGTATCCACGGGAAGTTTGATTTCCTTCCATTGAACCGTACCAGTCAGTTTTGCTAATATTCATTGTTATTTGTTTTATTTTTGATATATTACCATATATTGTTGCATTTGATTAAATCATTTTCATAAAACTCAGATTTTCTTTGTTTACTCATCAGTTTAATACCTTTATCCCAACTTTGGAGAGTCACTTGCTGTCTCATATAAGTTGTAACGTGTCTGACTACAGGGCTGAACAATGTCTGTCGTCCAAATTTCAAAGGATGCATAATTTTTATCTTAAAACACTTTTGTATGCTTTTCTGGTTAAGTACCAACTGGAGTTTATCAGTAATTACAACGGATTTCGTTGGTATGTTGTTAATTTTAGTAGCTATTTTTGTCTTTCTTGATTGATGACAGAGTTCAGTCATAACCATCATCATTGTCACTGCTACTTGGTAATCAGAGTACTCAGTAGTTATTGATTGAAGTTTGTTTCACCTAAGAATAAATGATAAACACTTTAGTTATGTAGTAGTTGTTGTCGTTGCAAACAATAACAAGTTTCAGAACTTTTCTATGAAACCCTTTTTTCGTTCACAACGATTTGTTCCTTATTCTGTTGATAATAATAATTCATGATGTCAGCATATTCAACTACTTCATTAATCTTTAGGGTGTGAATTTAAAATAAATAATGGGTAAACATGACGCTGACCTGACATACTTATTTTTATACTTTTAGGTGACAAGGTCTGTTAGCTTATAAGCATAGCAAATGTTTTTTTAAAGCTTCGCACATATAACTGTATACAAGAATATTGACTTATACTATTCGTTTTCGTTTGTTTTCTGGGTGTTGTACTGTGCGGTTGTGTAACCACTAGTGTCCATTAATCTTGAATTTGAAATCTGTTGTTCTTTTTAACTTTATGAATACACAAGTTTTTCTCTATGTCTGTCTTCATAATACTCCATTGAAAAAAAAAACACTGATTACATGTTAGAACATGTCTGTTTATCAGAGAATAATTTAACCAACATAATATACTAACATTAATGGACATTTGTAACGGGTTATTACATTGTTAACATTCGTTATGTTGTTCTGTTTGATTAGTAAATGTATTTGATAATTGTAGATATATTGGTTGAAAGTTCAATTATTCGAAATAATAAATACATTTTTGTTACATCCCAATGATATTTCATGACTTCATGAAAGCCACTTCTTAAGAGCAAATAAATAACCGAAATTAAATAGTACAAAAGAAACAGTGTAATATATTCTTAGTACAATCAAAATCATAATAGGTTTGAATGTCATTGTCAAGCAATTTTTGGTCAAGGTGAATTTGTATGGCCTGTCAATGTTTTAATGTGTGTCAGAATGTGGGTACGAAAACTGTACGCATTTACGATCTGGCGTAGTGGGTTTATATCGTGTGTCGGTGTGTATTCAATTTATTTGAAATTCTCAAGTCCAGCATTGATACTGATACCTATCAACTATTTAAAATTGATCTAATTGTAATTGTAATGGTTTTCTGTTTTTTCATTGAAAAATATCATCAATTACTTACTTCATACACATAGTTCCCTTTATCATTTTGAAAAGAGCAAGAACAAACATTCTAGCAGAATAGCATGAAATCATTTTTATTTCGTTGGTTCTCGTCAGCTGCCGACCGAAGCTGCTACCTTGACGCGGTGGTCGGGCTTGCCTATCGTGATGACCCAACCGAGCTATATTGGCTGGAACATATGTTCCTGTAGGTTCTACCATGCCAGGCAGGTCGATTGGAGAACGGTAAGACTAAAAGCAGCAACTCAAGGTCTGAGGGCGAAGTCGTACTGCTAACTGTAGAGGGGTGTGACAGCAGTAAGGTGTTTCTCTCGGACAACCAGCATCTGCAGCAATGCTGCCTTCCCACAAGGAGCGGTGGGGGTAGAAAAGGTCGACCCTAAAAATGTCACACCTCACCTTACCTGACGGATTTCCGTCTCTGGCGGTAAGGCCCTTTGAAGAAAGGAGCTAACACATTAAAAACCTTCCACGAAAAGGCCGCGCGCGACCGACCTCAAGCAGTTGTTCCTTGGGCTCTGCGGTCACGCTCCCAGGTCGTTAAGACCAACACTAATCCAATTTCTTTTTCAGGTCCCTCAAGAAATACCCTTCTACGGTGTGGGCAACCGGGAATTGATATCAGCCCTCATACCCGTAACAGCACACGAGACTAAGTTGGTCACATTCAAATCCTTCGTACACCTCCTAATACCTCTCTTATCTCCATGACTAATCCTCCTCATGTCTCTTTATCATCTCGCACCGTCAGGGCAAACGATTCGAGTACGCGGAACGCTATTACTGGTCTCCTGAAACCACGCTCTAAACTACACGTAGGAGCTTTTAACGTCCGAACACTGTGCCAAATAGGATAACAGGCCTCCTTAGCTAGGACTTTAGAATCCCGCGCTATCGATGTGTGCTGCGTCTCCGAAACGAGCATACAGGATCCGAGTAGCGTTATTCATCTGACCTCACCATGCCAAAATAAAAAACCGACTCGATTCACACTTCGTGTGTCTGGAAGCCCTGATTCTGCTTCCCGTGGCCTCGCCGGCGTAGGCATAACATTGAGTCCTAGGGCAGAACTAGCTCGTGAACATTGGTGGGTAGCGAAAGCAAGAGAGATGGAAAAGGCAGCGGCAATAGGTAATAGCAAACAATTGTTCAGACTTGTTAAGGCAATCGGTATTAGGAAACCGACTGTTAGCGAAACACTCTCAGAGAAAGATGGACATATTATACATTCTCAAACCAGGAGATTGGATCGATGGGCAGAACACTTTAGGGATCAATTCAACTGGCCTTCAGTCACACTTCGATTTCCCACGATCTCCAGTCGAAGTGAATGGGAAGTTAATGTTAACTGGAGATAATCCCATCTGACTGGTCTCAATCACTGATTGTGCCAGTTTTTAAGAAAGGACAAAAATCCTCTTGTGACAATCATAGTGGAGTCAGTTTGACAAATATAGTGTCTAAAATATTAGCTTCAATGGTACTTCGACGCCTAACCAAGGCTCGTGAAGAGCAGACTAGAGAAAACTAGGCTGGTTTTCGACCTGGACGTGGTTGTATAGATCAGATATTCACACTACGTCAGGTTCTAGAACACAGACACACGTTCAGACGCCCCACAATGATAGTATTTCTCGACCTTCAGGCGGCATTCGACTCTGTTGATCGTAAGGTTCTATGGCAGTGTTTGTCACTGAAAGGAGTACCAAAGAAGTACATTAACCTCATACATGCTCTCTACTCGAACACAACTGGTCGAGTGAGAGCTTATGGCGAACTGTCATCAGAATTGATTACCTCATGTGGTGTTCGTCAGGGCTGTCCACTCTCTCCATTCTTGTTCAACTTTGTCATTGACGTACTTTTATAGATAACACTTTCCTCGTCTAGATTTCCAGGGGTTGAACTTCTACCGGGAGGTTCACTTGTTGACTTAGAATGAGCTGATAACATAGTTTTATTTGGCGAGGACGCTGACAAAATGCAGAGTCTTCTGACCACTCTAAGCAACAATGCAAGCATGTTCGCGATGCGATTCTCTCCCTCGAAATGCAAAATGTTGATACCAAAAACAGATACTGATATGATCGATACAGAAGCTCAATTCGAAAGTCTGTTTGACCGGTTCAAGGATTTGCAGCGAATGATTGAGGAAAAGAAAGGATGGTTCAAATCAAATTTAGTTGATATTGCAAACCAATACTTCGTGTCATCGACAGCAACGTCTAACCTTCTATCCAGAGAACATCTGACAGCCCTAAGAAACATCGAAGAAAATAATGAGGTGATGATTTTTCGACCGGATAAAGATTCAAGTGTCGTCCTAATGAATACAGCTGACTATGTCACTAAGATGAAGCAAATCCTTGACGATCAACTGAGATTCAAGGTAGATAAATCCCAAAAAGATTTAACTGATTCAACGGAAAAACGAATCAAAGGCATGCTTAGAGAACTTCTAAAAAGGAAAATGATAGTTAATTCTACTTATAATGATCTAAAATCACGTGGGTCACGTCTGCCTCATATGTATGGTTTACCAAAAGTTCACAAGCACGACGTTCCCCTTAGACCTATCCTATCAATGATAAACTCACCGTATCACAAAGTTGCACGCTGGCTTGCAGAAAAACTAGAACCGGTTCGTCGAAGATTAGCAACATATACGTTAAAAGATTCATTCCAGTTTGCTGATAGACTAAATCGTACTAATGTTGCCGATATGTTCATGGTTTCTTTTGATGTAACATCCTTGTTCACCAATATATCACTTGAAACTATTGATATAATTTGTCACAATTATGATCTCCTACCTTTACCAGCCCCGGAATTCAAAAAACTACTATTAATGTGCACAACAGACGTTCAATTCCAGTTTAATAACACCATATATCGTCAGATCGATGGCGTAGCAATGGGAAGCCCACTAGGTCCAATTCTGGCAAATATTTTTATGGGGTATCTTGAAAACATGGTGATTAAACAGACGATTAGCGAAACGACGGAATATTCCAGATATGTTGATGACACGTTTATTGTCTGTAACAATAAACAACACGCAATCCACATGCTAAAACACTTCAATAACGCTCATCCTAACATACAATTTACTATGGAACACGAACAGAATGACATGTTCCACTTTCTTGATGTTGCTATAAAACGTAGGATAAACGGGACAGTCCAACGTTCGATTTATCGAAAAAGTACTTGGAATGGCATTTACCTGAATTTCAATAGCTTTTGTCCACTCAGTTACAAAAAGACATTGGTTAAAACACTATTTTATAGGGCAGAAAAGATATGTACCACTGACAAACTCGAAGAAGAATTGATGAAAGTGGAAAAATGCCTGCGAGACAACTTTTACCTACAAAAGTTTATTGACAAGTATAAGAAGCGTAAAGAAAACAATACTGAAGTAATTACTGTCAATAAAAAACCAATAACTATAAGTCTTAACTTCAAAGGTGACGAGGTTGCGAACACAATCAACAGGACACTCAATACTGCGCTAGCCAGAACTTATCCAGCAGCCAAACTTCAAATTCTGTATAAAACAACATGCTCAATAACTCAATCAAAAGTTGATAAGCATCCTTTTCATGTTACCGCCAATTGTATTTATAAATTTACGTGTACCTGCCAAAGCAGCTACATTAGCCGAACAGAAAGGAGGGCATATCTCAGATTTTTTGAACATGTTCCAAAAAGCCTCAGAACAAGAGAAAGAAAAACTCTAAATAGTGCAATCACCAAACATCTTGATACAGGACATCAGGTCGATACCCTACAATCATTCAAGGTGATTAGTAAACAGCCAAACTCCATTCTTCTGAAGTTTGCTGAAGCAGTTGCTATCAGGCGCCAAAAGCCTGATTTATGTGTTCAAAAAGAGATGGTTATTAATATTTCCTTGCCTTGGTGATTAATACTCCTTCGTTATATCTTAATAATTTTTTTTCTTTAAACTCTTTCCTGCATGTATTATACCATTGAGTTTTATTCCAACTATCTTATTTTATCAACTGAACTCTACTCATTTTATTCCTATCAAGGTTTATTTGTTTCTAACCCTTTGAACTGTTATCACAATGTTCTTTTATCACATAAGATATATATTTACAATATTCAGTCTATTAAATTTATTTACACCTTTGCTATACTATATGAATATGTCTTTAATATAACTTCCAATCAGACTCTTTTATGTAAGTAATTTAAACCCATTAATTGTGATTTTAAATATCACAGGTTGTAAGTAGCTGACGAGAACCAACGAAATAAAAATGAATTCATGCTATTCTGCTAGAATTTTTGTTCTTGCTCTTTTCAATTACTTATTTACTAAATTTGTCGCTGAACTTTACATAACCTAACTGCGCCGTGTAAAATCCTTGTTGCATTTCAGATTATGCTCATGGATACATAAATGTATATCTTAAGGAAAGTAAAAAAATTTTCATTTATATATCTAGTATTCATCTCTCACATTCGACTCTCACATGTAAACATAATCCATAGTATTTTTAAATAAGTACACCTTATTCACTATGAGGATAGAAGGACAATATGCAATACAACAAAATTGTCACATGTTTCTCCTGTAAACATCATTTTCTCAGTTTAATCAAGGTCTATGAGGATAGTTTATTCGAATGTTATAACTGTAATTCGACTAATAAGGGTGTAATTGGTCCATCCTAAGTCAAAAGTCAAATAAATTAAGCTTTGTTTAGACACTAACTGATTGGTGTCGCACCTTATGTGAAGAGTTGATAAATATTCTCATAGTCATTCCCTTGGAGCAAATCAGTTTACTGCGAGTTATAATTACTTTTATTTTTTTAAATTATGGATTCAAGCGGTAGTTCAATGGAGATTTTAAAACTCTTTCGGCTTTCATAGTAAATGTTTGTTCTAATTCATATCTTTTTTATTTATTCAGTCTTCTTTTTTATGATATTTCTATTTATTATACGAAATTGTATTGAGTGTGTTTATATTTCTTAAACTTGGTCAACAGTTTTGTTTGATTTACCTGACTTTTAAGTTTAACATATTCGATCTCATTTTATTTGAATTATATTTAGGTATCGGCCATGATGTGATAAAAATATAGGAAAGCTAAAACGAACAGGTAGACATAAGTTGTCCCTTAATAGAGTGCAATCTTACTATGACTTCCACTGCATAGTATTCTTAGACCACTCAGACGATCTCAAAAATCAAAACACAATATAAAGAGAAACCTAAATTTATTCGAAAGCTAATAAGCAAAGCTAATCAATTGCATATCAATTAAAATGACTATAATTTATAAACAAAGTAATTGTCACTTAGATACAAATCACAGTGCAGTAGTTAATGCACTAAAGAAACATTTTAAAAATGACGGACTTCATACTGAATGGATGATAGTGATTGAAGTCCACTTTAAATCAAAATTGGTTTCTTCATAAGTGTAGTACTTGGGAGTTCCATATTTCAAACGTTTGTGTACCCAGAAATAATCAAATTTTTGGCCTAATAATGTAAAGGAAATCGTGATTAACTATATTCTCATACCCAATAATTATCATTGACTCCTATAACACTGATTTTATTTATTTGATGAATATACAAATATAATGCATTGCCGTTTTGCATACTGGTCAAATTGAGCGTTAGGTTTTGTAAATCATTTGCTAAAAGCACACCAAATGGAGATCAGTGATTAAAGTAAGATTAGGGATTATCGTGCATTTAGTTTACTTGTTAAACATGTTACTTATATGAATCAAGGCTTTTGTTAAGGTATTAAAGCACTGGAAATGAAATGAATTGAATTCATAACACAATGCTTGTTGTTCTTGTTATATTTCCACATACACAAAAACAGGCAAGAATAATGGATGAAGAAAATTCCTTTTTTCTTTTGTAAATGGGTTTTCGTGCTTAAACTGTAATCATTTGGAATTATTTTTAAATATCTTACCCATTAGCCCTACAGTTTTTATGATCTAATCTGTCCGTTTTTCTGGGGGTAAAAACTTAATATACTTCACATATGCACGGGCAGCTTACACAAAATGATATTCATAGTTTAAGGAATTTATTGATCACGTATATCATTGGAGTAGTTTTAGTCGAATAACAATTTTGGATATTATGAATATCTAAGTAAACGATCAACAGCTTTTAGTATAAAGACCATCATATTTACCGTTAACACTAACTAATTCAGTGATACTTGTATCAGAAAATTTCAGTAAAAACTTCACATTTGAAGAGAGTATATGGGAACCATAATTGTACGCTTTATTTTTCTGCCGATATATTTTTTTCGCTCCGATGTATATTTCAACAAATGTAACCGTTTTTACTGTCGTGCCTTTTTCTCTAAATTAGCGGCAGTTATCGTACGGAACGACTACACGATACTTGGATGTCACCGAATATGTCTCGCTTACCTTTAGGATCATCAAGTTAGTTAAAATACGTTTGTTTGTCTCTTCTGTTAGCTATTGTCATGAATCAGTTGATCTTATCTACTGATAGTAGATTACATTATATTTTTTTAAATCCAAGATTAACGTCTAGTTGATATTATGTGGTCAATTATTGCAGAGATACAAAAGCAGTTAATGCAAAGTTATTTTGTGGTGTTTAATTACCTTTGATTTAATAAGTTAAAAACTTGATTGAATATTAACTAATATTTTCTGTTTATCTTATAATGTCTAAAGAAAACGAGAAAACTGTTATAAAGCGAGAGAGGCCTTGTTTTGCTACATAACCCAGGATTTCATTAATCTGTATTTTATATGATAATTTTACATTATTCTTACAGTGTATAACGGCACAGGAAATTGTAAACACTGGCACACTGTTGATAATACTCCGAATATGTAAAGAGTTTCTTTCGTGTTTTTTCCTTCATATTATCATACTTCTATTTCTTTGTCGATTTTCTTTTATTACTCTAATTCAAAGTAAATAATTTTTGTCATTTGTAATTTTTGTGTGTGTGCCATTATCGTATGAGTTATTAATGTTATTTTAACTCTCTACAGTCTATTGTATTTAATCTGCTTTGTGATAATTTATTTTTCAATTTTTACACAAGATCAAGACGTCATAAGATTGATAGTATCTTCCTTAATTTTGGAAATTCGGAAGCTTAATTTCACTAAATAGACTTGGATTGAGACCTGTCAGTAAGTTCGGACTACTTGGTTGATGTCCGCTCTACTACCGCGATTAGTAGTTGGTGGAATTCAATAACAGCCTATAACCGGTCACAGAATCGCGATTGGGTACATTCTATTTACCTTTTAGTACAAATTTTTTTAATTTATTCCTGTTATTTCTCAGAATGTTATCTCTTGTTTTTAGTCTTTTCTTACCTCCACTATTTTGCTAGTCATCTTTTCGTGTTAGTATGACGTGGCAACTTGGACTGATAATCTTTTGTGTCACGTTCCTACATAAAATATCTGATTGATTGACTGGTTTATTTTACTTTTCCTATAATTACAGGCTTGTGTTTGTTTTTATGACCAGATTATTGATTGGATCCACAGAGTAGTTATGTTTAATATGTTTCAAACTACACAATTCGTTCTTTAATTCATTCATCTTTTGTTTTTATTGTGTTCAAGTGTGCTTAGTCTGTCATGATGTTTATCACCTGCGTCTATATGGCATGTAGCTTTTTTTGATTCACCAATATGTCTACTCAGATGTGCGCTATATTCTCTCATGACTCATTCATCCTTTGTTTACATCTGTATTTTTTTAATGTTCAATTTGTATTTTCGATTGAGTTATTGTGAATAAGACACATGAAAGAGAATAACGAATTCGCAAGTCATGTTTCTGTTTTGTTTTCACATGCTTATTCCTTGAAAAACAAATAATTTTCAGTATTTGGCATGGCCTAGTACTCTTATGAAGAATTTCTCTGTAACTAACACACACTCACATACAATTTACCAAGCTGAATGCATTTTCATATATCCGTTTCCTGTTACAGGGCCACAAATATATTTGCAGACTGACCTCTACCTTTATATAATTAAATCTAATCATTATTGATTTATCGATCGCTAAAGATAGGTGTATTATTATTGTTGTTGAACTGTATGTATATCGTTTATTATACCGAATCGACATTGAAATTATTTATTTGGATATTTATAACGTATGGTCATAAAATTTATGAAATACATCACTTTTTGTAGAATTTAATTCATCCTCAGAATCGTCGAATCGTTTAACGGCACTAAAAACTCGCAACATGCATCCTATGTTAAATCGTCGTATATCGTCAAAAACTGAAAGTTCAACCATAATACGAACAAGTAGTTCAGAAAATATTGAAGACGGTATCAATAGCAGGTAATTGGATATTATGATATATTTATTTTACTTTTTAACGATTCATGTGTTCAATTACTTATTTACATCGGTGACTATCCTATTTTTACAACTGAATGGCTGACAAACGTATTAAGTACACCTTTGTAAGGGTTATTAATCATGAATGAGTGAGTTAGCTTTAAAGCACTTTCAGATTGAACTTTAAACAACATAGAATTCTATTCATCAACGAAATTCATTGTCATCGCAATGAGAAAATGCCTTTATAGTTTCGACAACCTTTGGATTTCAATTTGGTTCTTCATTAGTTAAAAAAGATAAGAATTTCAAAAATCGATCTGAAACAAATTCGACTTGTGAAATATATGTTTCTAGAAAGATTTCTCCATCAAAATTTCACTCATCAGAACTTTTATTGTATACATTTCTTAATTTTTGCGATAAAACAGTAATACTGTTCTAACTTAATATATTCACTTGACTCTAATCTGTTATGTCTAGAGCTTAGATTCTTAATATACTGCATATAACTTGAACGCTGGAACGCTTGAACTCTCCAAGTCGCAAATAAGTAGACAGAAGACTAGAGAAAGTGATTATCGGACAAGAATCAAAATGTATAAAAATCATGGGTATTTATAGATAATAGCGTTTGTTAAATCAACATTAGAATTCAACCAATCCGCAAAGAGGCATGTTATGCTACTGGCCAAGAGTAACATGCCACGTTAATAATCTAGAAAGCTCCGTTACGTTCTGATTGGATGGGACTCTAGGGCCTCTGGAGCCTCCGTCGTAGTTCTCGTAAGCCGTTCCAACACCCCCGGAATAATATTTCTTTGGGTCTACTTGTAGCCTGACGACTGGTTCGTGACGGCGTTCCATTTTGTTCGCTGTCTTCCTGGTCCAAGTTTTCTCGGATGTCTGTGTCGTTGATGTATCTGAGATCAACTCGAGTGTCCATCATTCTTTCATCTCTAAGTATTTGATTTGTGTGTCTGATACATGTGCCGAAAATTCCTCGAACTATGTACAAAACTCTTCCCAATCTTCGTATGATTTTTCCCGGTTCTCATCGATTCTTTCTGAGGTAGGACTTAATGAACACTTTATCACCAACGTTAAAACTTTGGATGTTAAGATTTGGTCTATACCCATCTACTATTTTGGATGGCAACATGGCGTTAAAAATAGTCCGGATACGTCTTCCGAACATGGCTTCTGCAGGAGACTTTCCATCTGGGAAAGTTGAGTTCAGAGTAGTTTTTGTAATTACCTGTCTAATTGTCCTCTCGCCTCCCTCTTTCAGTAGTTCTCGTTTAAAAGTATCGACAAAACGTTATGCCTGTTCATTCGATTAGGGATCATACGGGGGAGAACGTAGATGTTCTATTCCGTTTATGCTACAAAAATGCTTGGATGATTCTGCAATGAACTGTGAACCATTGTCAGTCACTAAAGTCTCTGGGACTCCAAAAGAGCTGAAAAAAAGTTCATCGTGTATTGGATGACGCAGTCGACGAACTCCTGGTTACCTTCGAAGCCATCAAAAAAACCCACTGAAACTGGCAAGACTTTGAGCAGAGTTAAGTGCTATCTTTCAACTAAATGACCAAATGATCGTCTTGAAGGAGGACGTTTGCAATATTTTCGTCGACGTGTCTCATTGATGGTGATTGACTCCCGTATTATGTTCGGTGATCGCATTGTTATTCCGAAATTATTGCGTCACAAGGTTCTCAAACAGTTTCACAGTGGTCACCCGGGATCAACGAAATGAAGACACATGCCACAATTGTCTATCATGTATTCAAGCTGCCAAAATCCCAGAGACTTCAGTGACTGACAATGGCTCACAATTCGTTGCAGAATCATTCAAGCATTTTTGTGGCATATACAGAATAACACATCTACGTTCTGTATATTACTGTTATTTGGATTATTACTTAATCAACCTATATCGCTAGCCAGTATAATAGAATTCGTCTTGTGATTTTTATTTTTGGTCTAAATGATTTTTGTTTTGATGGTTTTATTGTTTCCTAACTACTTTGTTATATTAAAATTATTTAGCTTAAGTGTTAGACATTAAAAATTAACTAACTAAACTGAAAATCCTCTTTGTCACGCAAAAAGATCAAAAACTTATTGTTAAAATTAATTAATCGAAGTATCTATCATGTAGATAGTTAGAGTGCTTAGACTGAATGGTCAATCCCATGCTAACCATTTCTTTTCTATAACTTACTGATGTACTTAATTGTATTAACATAACATTATTTTAACCAGTTTATAAAAAGCCAATCGGCCACATAACTAGTAACACACCTGTCACAATTCTATGATCTTCACGATCATATTTATCTTTGTAATCAACACACATATTCTCAACTACATTTTAGTGTTTATTATAAAATCGATTGTAAGTTGCTAACATGAAAAAGTTAGCTTTGTAATATGGAAGGTTTAGACGTTCTAATCAGCGTATCTTCTCTTTTATTTTGGTAATTCCGACGTCCTCTCAATTCCGTAAGTGGAGGACTTAAGTAATACCTTTTTCAATGTGATTTTTTCCATTCAGATATTCAGATTTCTCTTCCACCAATTCACATAGCTCTAAATCCCGATTGCTGAGATCTACGGCTAGAAAATTTCAAAATGAAATGACTGGTTCTCACAAACTAATTACAAGGGAATATCAAGTAAGTACGACTGACCATAGTAGATATTTACCAATTTATTTTTCCATGTATAATATTAATAACAATATCAATTGCTTTATTCAGTATTACATGTCTAGTACTTCTATTTCCTTCAACGACTGACTGATATTACGTGAAAAATCACCAACGAGAATCTTGATTTTTTCTGGGCTGGCTAATTGCACGTTCAACACGCACTAGTAACCTTGATTCAGCTGCCAGGTTATTATCGGTCCATGATCCTGCAACTTCTCTCTACACTGCCCTTCATTTCAGCCTCCACTGCATTATATTTCGAGCAGACGTAGTATGTACACAACCATACGAGACCACACCATACAATAGTGAAAAATAGCAGTTACAAGCGATCGAAACAAAGTGACTGTGAGTAATGGAGATTGTGAAGGGCGAAGTGACAACAGATTCTGAATGATAAACCGTGTATCAGTAGTTAATGATTTAATTGAAAGCTTAAGACATATATAATAATTTAGTTAAGTAAGAGTTATACAACAACATTAGTAATAATTCGATAAAACTAGTTCCAACTTTTACAATATCCGTTTTTTTTCTTACAAGTACGACTTAGAATTCTCAACATAAAGATAAAATATAAATTTCAGTTTGATTATAACTGCTTTAATTTTCCTGTCTAAACCGATGCTCGCTACAACTAACTCACTGATTATTCTAGCTCTGTAATTTGCAATTAGTGATGATAATTCTCAGTTTTTTAATCAAACCAAAATCTTTGTCTCATAATTATAGTTGACAGCAAGTCGAAATAGATTATCCCAATGATTAATTTCACCGACAAGTATTTTTTCAAGCACTTTCCACAGAACTGTCAAATCTGAGTGTGGATATAAATCGGATTAAAACAATTAAAACTTGAATATATTATATGAACATCAGATTGAGTCTGATCTGTGGGGTTTTAGAACACGGTTTATTGTCACTTTGGTGGCAAACGTAACTCTATTTATATGGAGCGTCAAGTAAAGAGATTTGAACAGTCCCAAATCAGAATCATGGAAGCCCTGATGCAAAAATTCTGCCTGTCCCAGCAAAACCCTGCTTCTGGCGAATCACAAGTATCTCACACTGATTCAGTCATTAACGCCATCCATGAACTTAATTTTGATGGTGTAGCGGGTGTAACTTTTAATTCTTGGTTTAAGAAGTATGAAGATTTGTTTTATATTGACCTTTGCAAACTGCATGACGCTTCAAAAGTCAGAATACTTCTGAGAAAACTTGGGACTATGGAACATGAACGCTATAGCAACTTCATTCTCCCGAAGAATCCACGAGACTTTAGTTTTGATGAAACAGTTAAAACCCTGTCCCAAATCTTCGAAGAACAATCATCTCTATTTAATATTCGTTACCAATGCTTAAAGATAACGAAAGAACCAGGAGATGACTGGGTGAAGCATTCAGGAATTGTGAACCGAGAATGTGAGAGGTTCAAATTGTCTTCCATGACAAGATCAGTTTAAATGCCTAGTATTTATCTGTAGCCTGCGTTCACCCGAGGGTGTTGACATTCGAACGAGAATCCTAAGCAAACTTGAACATTGCCCCAACATGACTCTGCAGGAAGTAGCTACCGAATGCCAAAGGCAACCGGTTCCCTCATATCAATGCAGTCGAGAGAAAAGTCCCACAAGGTTCCAGTACGCAGAATTATTTTAATGACAGCAACAAACCATCCTCCTCCCTATTGGTCAACATTTGTACAATATTTAGCAAGTGAAACAAATATCGACCAATAGGGAATGCCCATTTAAAGTCCAAGGACACTATTAGACTTAACATGATAATTATTGGTATATTTTTCCGAATATCCTAACATCTATAATGCCTGAAATCGTGAGCAACAGCAGAGTTACTGTAAAATTTGTTCCGTCTAGTTACTGATGTGATACAGAATGTATGTAGATATTGAAGGTATGTGAGCTAAAGAATTTATAGCAAGGTACGTCGGTGAGAGCTAATGGAAGGGAGATACCTGTTTATCCACCTCATTAGGCTAACTGTTTAACTAAAAATTCTCATTGAAATGAGTAAAAATACGTGAAATAATGCTTTATGATAACCCAATTTTTGGATATGCTATAACTTTTTTCAGTAAAACAATATTTTCAAAATGTACTTTCTTCAATTTACTAGGTGTCACATGAACTAGGAATTAGTAATAAACCAACTGGCTCTGAAAACTTAAAGCTCCACGACGAACAAGATGAATCTTTAATTACTCCCACCGAACGAGCAAGACCACGTAAATCAGAAAGACTAGCTTTTAAAAATCAGTTAAAATCACAACAGTCATCAGCACTAGTTGACCTTGATACTATATATCGTCAAGAAACATCCCCTTATCTATCATTAACATCAACATTTGTCTATCCGAATCAACCACAATCAACGTTGGAACCAATGATTATGTCATCAAAGGCTTTACAAATGTCTAGCCAAGTATATAGTAATGTGGGTAATTCAGTAACCACAAATACTGATCCCTGGACGAAGCGTATTTCATCCATATGGGGAAGGTTGTCAAGTAATAATCCGTCTGTAAATAGTTCAAATGATAATCTTAGGTTAGAAATAATTCTCTCTGTATATATAACTGTTTGGTGGTGTGAAATTGATATTTTATTATGTTTTGTTTAACCATGTCCGTTAGTTTACATTATTTGCACTAGTTCAGCGATCAACCGCTAGTAAGTTAGAGTTTTTTAAAGAATTAATAGGCATAAAAGTTCTCGTTTCTAACCTTTTATAACTGTTATAAACTAAATCAAGTTGAATAATTCGAATTTTATTCAACTATTATGAAAGTTAAGTTTTTGAGCCTTTAGTTGATAACTCTGATGTGGTTGGAACGTGCTTTAGTGACTGTTATGACCTCACAAATAACAGTTTCATTTATTGGGGTCCATGTAATTAGTCCGTTGTTATGGAAACAATAGTATTGTTTAGTTTGATTAATCATCAATTCACTCTGGCTGTAGTATAGATGACCTATCTTTCCAATGGCCCCGTGACCAATGAACGACGAGTAGCGTTACAACTTACCAACATGAATATGAAACTATAATGTGTGCATAACTGCACTATAAGTGAAAGAAAAATTTAATGAAATTTCATCAGTTATCAACATTAACGCATACAGTAGTAGTTTGCGAGCCAAACGGGTGATTACAAGTAGAAGAATATAAGCACAGAAAATTCTAAATGTTTGGTAATTATACAATAAAAATATAAACAATAATTCTTTATAAGATAGTTCTCTGTTACAACTTTCTCAATACCTATCCTTTTATAATAGTGGTCATTTATTAAGCGGAGTTTATGGGTGTTAATCCTATCTATCCTTATGCTTCAAGACCACGCTATCTTAACAGTCAACTGTATTTTGTTTTAGTATGTGTTGTTACACAGAATTACACCTTTACTATTGAAGTGTCTAGTTTAATCAAATCTACTTGTGTTACAAAATGGTGAATTATATTCACATTTACTTTTCCATGTTAATCTATGGACGTTTTTCTGGAAAATGTGATTTTTTTAATTTACTGTAATATGTATCTCCGGTAGTGTATTGCTCATGAGTATGTATGACAGTAATGATGGTATACATTATGTACATAGCTTTCACTAATGGTAGTTAACTTTAGCTATGAGGGCATATTTTGAAATCAATCTATTAACACTGTTGGCAAGATGAAAATTCATTATCTTTAGTGGTTTCTTTCGGTTTAAATATTCTCAATTGTGAATCGTTATTTGGTGATTCTACAGAGCCATAGTAATATGCCTAGGCATAACTAAGATTTACTAACTCATCACAAAAGCAAAGGACACATTTATCTCCCGATAGTTGCTTTTAATATGTTTAGTTTCTTCGGCATATTAGTTAATTAAAATTTATATAAACTTAAATCGTCAAAATATTTGTGGTTCTTAGGTGATTTTGCCCCAGTAATTAACATTTATCGAATTGTAACTCCTAGAGTGTTGTTTTTAGACATCTTACCAGATTGTAGTGTTCGAATAAAATATGTTAGTCTTAAATTTTATATTGTCAGTTTTCTGCTTCTATAAACAACAGTCTAAGACATGCTAGGATGATTAACTGACAAATTTGCTGTTATTTTAACACGTTTTTGCTGATATTTCAATATTTTAAGTTAGTCTAACAAATTAACAAGAACCGGAACCGTGAAATTCAGAGTGCTTATTTTTTTGTTCAACCGACATTACTTACGTCGATTTTTGTAGCAGTACAATCAGTAACTGCTTAAGTCACTGTACGCTGATAATGAGCTTTTTAGTGTATTAAAACTCACATTACTGTTTTCGTCTCATTTTATCAATGGGACTTTGAAGGTCAAGTATGTGTAGAAGTTGTTAAAACCTATAAGACTCACTACTGTCAAAATCTATATAATGTATATCTTGCTATCTGAATGTTTCATTCCTCCTTTTAGTTTTAGTAGTACACAATCACATGTGGTGCAAAGGCGGCCTACAGGATGGTTGGCACGTCATATGTTTGGTGAGCCTTTTATTTATATGTACTGACTATTATTTACATTTTACAAGTAAATTACTTTTTATCTCTTCCTTTTTCTTATAATTTAGTTGTAACTCAAATATAGTAGATACCTATTCGGTTCATTTTGGTTGCAAAACTTCTTTTTTCCTCCTTTTTGGTACTGTCATACAGTATACAAAATAAGTAGGCCCCTAAGAGGTTTACTTGCAGCGTCTTTCCTACGTCCAGTAAGACGCAGACAGATACGCGCTCGTACTAGAGCGTGATCTGGATCTAAGCATGTGCTCCAGAATGAGCGACAGTCTTCTATCGAGCCCCTCCATCGGTGGCTGATAGCGAAGTGATCTAGTTGGGTCCAACGTTGGGACGAATTAGGGGGTCTCCATGTTAAAAGATGTTTATCCTTATGCTTAAAGTTATTATTTGCAAGGAACAGACGGTTATCTGAGCATAGCTGCAATAGACGGTCGCCATTATCTGTTCTTTGAGCCACGATGCTATAAGATCCACCCAGGTGTCTTTCCCTATCGCTTAGTTTATCTACTTGAGCATTAAAGCCAGCGGCCACTATGAAGAAATCCGAGCGCCTAGCTTTTCGGAGAAGGTCGGAGAGCTTTCTGTAAAACTCATCTTTTACATCATCTGCGCTGCAGTCAGTGGGAGAATAGGCAGAGACGACGAAGAGGCAACGACGAGTGTCCCTATCTTTCCGAATCCTTACTGTTCCGTTCAGTCGGACAGCGCACAAACGACTGTCTACTGGGATCCACTCTAAGAGAGCTAGTTCTGCTCTAGGACTCGGGCCACGGGAAGCAGAATCAGGGCTTCCAGACACACGAAGTGTGAATCGAGTCGGTTTTTTATTTTGGCATGGTGAGGTCAGATGAATGACGCTACTCGGATCCTGTATACTCGTTTCGGAGACGCAGCACATGTCGATAGCGCGGGATTCTAAAGTCCTAGCTAAGGAGGCCTGTTATCCTATTTGGCACAGTGTTCGGACGTTAAAAGCTCCTACGTGTAGTTTAGAGCGTGGTTTCAGGAGACCAGTAATAGCGTTCCGCGTACTCGAATCGTTTGCCCTAGCAGTGCGAGATGATAAAGAGACGTGAGGAGGATTAGTCATGGAGATAAGAGAGGTATTAGGAGGTGTAAGAAGGATTTGAATGTGACCAACTTGGTCTCGTGTGCTGTTACGGGTATGAGGGCTGATATCACTTCCCGGTTGTCCACACCGTAGAAGGGTATTTCTTGAGGGACCTGAAAAAGAAATTGGATTAGTGTTGGTCTTAACGACCTGGGAGCGTGACCGCAGAGCCCAAGGGACAACTACTTGAGGTCGGTCGCGCGCGGCGTTTTCGTGGAAGGTTTTTAATGTGTTAGCTCCTTTCTTCAAAGGGCCTTACCGCCAGAGACGGAAATCCGTCAGGTAAGGTGAGGTGTGACATTTTTAGGGTCGACCTTTTCTACCCCCACCCCTCCTTGTGGGAAGGCAGCATTGCTGCAGATGCTGGTTGTCCGAGGGAAACACCTTACTGCTGTCACACCCCTCTACAGTTAGCAGTACGACTTCGCCCTCAGACCTTGAGTTGCTGCTTTTAGTCTTACCGTTCTCCAATCGACCTGCCTGGCATGGTAGAACCCACAGGAACATATGTGCCAGCCAATATAGTTCGGTTGGGTCATCACGATAGGCAAGCCCGACTACCACGTCAAGGTAGCAGCTTCGGTCGGGGATGACTTTTGCTTTAGGATTGGGTTGCATTGACACCCGAACTAATGATAGGGAGTGAAGTAGTTGAGCATGTTGACCGCTTCACTTATTATTGGAAGTCTCATCAGCCCTTGTTGTCTGGTATGTGACGAAATCTCAGCACGGATACAGAATGCTCGACTAGCTTTTGCTAACTTGCGTCATTTATGGCGTAGGCGAGATATCCGTCTACCAACCAAAGGAAGGGTTTGCTGCGCAGCAGTTCCATCCGTCCTGCTCTATGGAAGTGAAACATGGCCGGTAAGAGTAGAGGACATTCGTAAACTACTAGTATTTGATCATAGGTGTCTTCGAAATATTGCTCGTATATCCTGGGACCATCGAGTAAGTAGTGCAGTTGTTTGGAAACGGGTACTAGGTAAGGATGGCAAATCAATTGATGAAGTGGTGAAACTTTATCAGTGGAGATGGCTGGGACACGTGTTATGTATGCCCAACGACCGACTGCCTCGACGTGCGATGTTCAGTGGTATAGGAGTAGGTTGGAAGAAAGCTAGGGACGGCCAGACCAAAACATGGCACAAGTCCATGAAGTCACTGACAAGTCACTGGTCAGTAGGTGTAGACTACCTGGTTGGGGACCGTGAGATGATAGCAACTGATGGTTTGGGACCTTGAATGACATGGCTCAAAATCGTTTGCAATGGCGCAGGTGCATCCACTCTTTGTGTTCTCCCAAATTTTGATCTCCTGATTCCCCCTTGTCTCTTTTTTATCTTCCCAAATTTATTTCACTGTATTATACTCTTTAAGTAACATCTCCAAACACTAATCTTCCCGATTACTACTTATACTCTTATTACCTCTACCACTACGGGATTTGAATTGACCACTGCATCTCTGTGCTAATGTGGTGTGGCAACTCGACCTGATGTGCGTACGTACGAAGTTCTACGTTGTAACCGACTGACTGACTTTTTATTATAATAAGGTTCTCCGTTTGTTATATACATGTTAATCGACTTAAGTGAGACATATTATCATTCTTTTCTAATTGTTCATGTAATCGTGTGTACATTAACTATTCATGTGTTTGTAAACTTATATCTAACCCTTAATTTAAATTATTGTCCGTATACAACTTTTGCAATTAAAATCAAATTTCTAGCTTTTGAGCACATGTAATATTTATTTTCTTTTGAAGAAAAGATATTTTTTACACTTTAGGTTTGGAGAGAGATAATACTGAAGATCTAAATTTTGAATCAAAGAATACAGACGATCAATTTCTGTCTAGCGATATAGAGGATAACTATAATGCTAATATTTCGTATCATAAAACTAAAAATGTTGCCAATAGAAACAAAACACTAGTTCATTTTAATCTGCCTCATTCGAACTCATTACAGTTTGATTTTCTTTCACGCCGACGAAGATTATGTTTTTATACCCAATGTGTTTTAAACAGTTTCCGGAATATGTCTATTCACCTTTTAGCGTTTTTAATGGCTTTCATTTATGCTGTTGGAAATATTTTTCTATATATCCTCAGTTGTTTACCACGATTATTCTGTTGGCTGTTTGCAAAATTATTTAGTGGAAATGATAATTCTTCAAATTTATCTCTGAACTATCACTCAAGATTACGTACTGATCTATCGAGATTTCAAAATTCCACAGGTTCATCAAGGTAAACTTGTCTAATTTTATTCGTTTTATCATATTCTTACTACTAATAATTCTTGTACTTTGTTTATTATAACATCTATACTTTGTTTAATTTGAGAAAATGTAATATTGCCATTTATTCGAGTTCTGGTATCAGTTTATGACACCGATCAACGGCATATGTTGTAAAAATATTGTAGAAATAATCACCTTATATTCATAAAACGAAATCAAACATCATTTCATCTTTCTCTGCATGATCTTCGACTTCATACATCCTAAAAATGTCAGATTATCATTAGTCAATACTTCTCAGTATATTTCAAAATTGAGAATTTATTAATGTTAGCGGAATATAGATTAGATTGAAGCACGTTCCATGCACGATTAAACCGGAACTCGCTAATTGGCTATTTTTTAACTAATCAGCGTTCGTGAACACTTGAAGATGAATCTAAAATCTCGTGTGAAAACTATAAATATACTAACGTGTTTTTCTTATTGTAATTCCTACTTCCATCTACTTTTGTCATTTGGAATATAATTTCGTTCCTGTTCAACCGTGTTCTAATTTGAGGACCTGTCGAGTCAGTTGGTGTCTAAGAATGCCAAGCAATAGGAATAGCTGGGTCGTAATAAAAGAAATTATAACAAGTAATCGGTTCAAAAATTACGAAGTGAATTACGGTATAACATCGTGATACTGTGTAATCACTAAGCTTATGAGTTTTGTAGCAAGTTGATTTGTTGGTTAAAAACTTTCGAGAAGTAACTCACCATATTTAATGATAAGAGATAACGCTAATTAGAATGTACTTGAAACAAAATCAAATAAGGTTTAACCTTTGCTTTTGATAAAATCTTCAATTCGATGCGATAAGCAGTTTTTAGATAAACGTCATTGCCACATGTCTATGCACTTAAATCCAATTTGCCATCATAACTTTTAAAGTATGTGATAATTAATACTTAGTTCGGTGGTTAGTGTTATGTCTTTATGTCCGACTTTTTATCACGTGATTTATCCACCAATCAAAATACGACTTATACAATCTTTGTAGTGCGCCAAAACCAATAACGTTCGACCGGTATGAGCAGCCTAGCGTCCTTATCGGTTCTATTTGCGCCTAGCCCATCCACTTGAGTCCAGAACACCGATACCAGCTCCCACTATGTGTATCGAATGGAATTATTTATTTGAGACATACTGGGTTTATATATTAACCAAACAGACCTCAACGCACCATAAAATAGGAAATAGCATACAATAAAGCCAAAAAGTGGCTGTGAACGTGGGAGGCAGTAGTCAATAAACTGAACATAGCTTAAGAACCGTAAACCGTAAAATAATAAATTATAGGTCAAAAAAGCTTATAATAAGGGGAATATATATACATAATCTAATTATACAATAGTTATGCCATAAGAATATATAGATAATATTAGTCAATTAATATGTCTCAGGAGTTATTCGTGGTTTAATCTTCGCTGGGATACGACAGATAGTACTTTCAAATTGTAACTGATGAGAAAAAGATTCACTCTATGCCTCAACTAAACATCTTTTCGGTGGGCTGATAAGTTTCTACATCTAGTATTCTGTTTATGATCGACTACACTGACCTCTACTTGATTTACATATCTGTAGGTATTGACTAATGATCATTTAACTATGATCGTATAATAATGGCGTTGATACATCTGTTGTAATCAAAAAATCGAGTTGATGAACAAATAAAATGACTGGTGACCAAGTTTATGGTATACTCAATGGACAGATCTCACTGTAATTTTTTCTATTAATAAACATATACTACTGTAGAAGACGTTTTGTATGTGCACATATTTTCAGAAAACTTGCCAACCCCAAACATTAATGTCCTTGCAGTTCCTTTTCAATATATTTTCGTTTTAAATAGCAGAACCGGTTTATTCGCTACATTTCTTATGTAGTACTAATACTTGGAATTGTTTTTCTTCATAAAACAAGTGTTATTCGATACAACTGAACTGGAAAGTAGTGTTGTTACCATTCTGCTTTATTCGAAATCAAAATTTTCAATCATGTTTACATTAGCTTCCATCGTCTAATGTTCATTTTTGTGCCTAACAGATGAATATTTACACCTGATATACTGTTCAAATAACCCAACATAATTTAAAGTATTCTCTTTTTGCTTTAATTCTTCATTAATGAATATAATCTTTTTAATCTTTTTTCCCTAGTTCCTATGTACAGAGAAATAATATCTTGAATTGGTGCTTGCGTTTAGTACTACTGTTACTTATCTTATCCCCGTTATTACTAATTTTAAGCCTTTTGTTTGCACCAACTGGTAAGTATAGTATACATGTACAATGAGCTAATTTGTTTCGATATCTTTTATTTTTCACTTCATGTATGTGGCAAGTTAAAGAAAGATGAGTATGACTGGAAGAAACTAGTAGAAAATAGTTCAAACTTAAATCATAAGACCTCTATGTCTTTAATATGCTTGGATGCTATTACGAGTTCACCTTACCCGATAAACGGAACGAAGGTCAAAGATACAGTGACATGATAGGCTATTCTAATCCGTTGTCCCCGGCCCTGCTAACTAGATCAAGAAGTCTTGATGAGGTGTATAGAATGTAATCTACAAGCACCCAGAAAATACGAGGTCACTAAGCACACAACTCAAGTTTATTTATACAATGATAGAAACGCCCATGCGAGAGCCACAAAATAGCGTATCAAAAAAATACATCAACCAATGACAGTCAAGGATTTCCGAGTGGGAAATTTAGGCTGTAGATTAACTAAGGGTCTCTTGGCGCGAAAACATAAAATTCAAAATCTCATAATAAAATTACAAAATTAGGACCTTTTCCAAGTGAGTTCTGGGGATCTAACGTCCTCAACAGTCTTTTTGTCAAATAAATAATCTCACGATAAGAGTCGCCCATTGTCGTTCTAAAACTGAAGTTCCGGTTTTTCACAGTACGTGGAATTAAGGTTTCTCATCTAAAGAAGATTACTAATTTAAAGTAGAATTATCAACTTCATATGTTTTATCATTTTGCTTATTGAAATCGTTCTGTAGTTGAACTTTAATAGGTATTATCTTAAGATTTCATTAAAACCTTTAGTTATAATTCATTATTAGTTGTGTTTTTTTATTTGTTTCTTTACAGATAACTTTTCAAATAATTCGTCTTTAAAATTGTTTCCATTTTTCTCTGATTCTAATTGTACGTATGAACTTTCTGAGACACGGCCGGATAGTACTCATCTTTGGAATTTATTTATATGGAAAACACGTTGTCTTTATGTTCGTTATTTTTTTTCATCTGAGTTAAATGAGGATAACAGAAGATCTGACAAAGAAAATGATTGGTGGCAATGGATTCCGTTCTACAGTTCAAGTAAATCTAGTGATCGAATAGTTTTTGATACAGGTAACTTCACATAGTTACTTTCTCAGTTGTTATACTTATTATTACACTTATTATTGTAGAGGATTTAATGTTTCATTGTAGTACCATATATGGTCGTTTTCCTTTCATTTTCTTGAGAAAACAACCTTCACGGAAACGAGTTAGTGATAACATAATGTGCAACTTGCTAATTTCTTTTACTGTTATTTGGATGTTATATCCGCGTCGCTTAGCACTTATACTTGGAAAACGAGAAACCACGGCAATTCCTACGACGCAAAGTATGAACACGGAAAACTAGTAAAAATGAAGATTTATCAATCTCAAAACATGACAACGACTCTATCCAAAAATATGATTATTTATATATTGAGATCATGAACCGATTGATGTTAGACCACCAATGAAAACCTGGAAGCACTGGACGGCTGTTTCGTCCTACTGTGGAGCTCCTCGGCACTGCGCATCCACGACCCAGCTCGCTGAAGCTAAGCCGTGTCGGGTAGAAACAGGTGTCTACCTCAGTACAATGGAAGATGGTCGTGCAACTTCGTGGATTGGTTGAGGTTAGACATTAACACCATTGGATACCGGCTCAGTGGTTCAGTAGGTTAAGCGTTCTCACGTGATCGTGAGATCGTGGATGCGCAATACTGAGGAGTCCCACACTAGGACGAAACGGCCGTCCAGTGCTTCCAGGTTTTCAGTGGTGGTCTAACATCAATCGGTTCATGATCTCAATCAAAAACTTAACAATCTCCACAACTCTTAAACTGATATTTATGTATTGATTTGTATACCCGTTTGTTCATTAATATGTAGTCATATGTATGAAATTATAGCTAAATCTCACGTAGTTCACATTAATTTGATACAAGAATATAATATCTTAAATAAGAATCATACTGAAGTAAATCAGTGTTATGCTGAATAAACTAAGATGATGAAAATAAAACCAATATTACACTGAATAATCATCATATTACATTAAAACGGAAATAATATTGACCAAAAATCACAATGAATTAAGGATATAGTTTTGCCGTTATACCCCGTCATATCACTGGAATAAATTAGATTAGCGTAGCTTCCTTATAAATAGTAATCGACGAAAGGCGTATTCGCTAATGTATTTGTGACACGAAAGGTTTTTCAACGATCACGCCTCATTAGCGAAATGTTGAACTGCTTAAGATGTGTTTATATTTGGTGACATGGGACATTGAACGTGTTTTTGGCCTTGCTCCTGGCTTCTTTTGATATTTAACATGAATTTATTAAAGATGATTTCTTGATATTTGATACCTTAGTGTAATGTCGATAACCCCAATCATATCAGCTATAATAAATATTTTATTTAGATGAATAAATTATAAGAAAACTAGTTGTCATTTGTTATCTTACTATTATAAAGCATAATTTAAGCCTTTTTCCAAGTCGTTTGGTGTAAATTGTGTGGAGAAACGCTTGATATAAAGGGTTATGAATTGGATTCTTAGTGATTTCTGTGAAGTTTTGTCAGGAACTTATCAAGATGATGTACAGTATTACATTCGCTTGAAATGTAACATTGACTCGTTTATCTAATATGAAGTCAGCTTGAGAACAGTGGCTGTAGATTGTTTTGAAACTTTTCAAAACGACTGTTCGTTTAACATATATGGCTACAAGTACTAACTAAAGCTAAGTGATGAATTAAGGAACAACTACTCATTTATATCCAGGTACTTACCTCCAGGATAACACACCTAAAATATTTAATAAGATATAATTTATTCCTATGTTACGTGTTTTAAGTTTGTCTTCTGTGTCGAATACATCTAAAATTTATGAAAACAAATAGTACTTCTAACTCTTAAGTTTAATCGAACTTGACTAACCCATTGTCGTTTACTGGATAAACCGACGAAATATAGTTTGCTTGTTAACAACTTGCTTTCGTGTAAACGTTTACTCTTAAGTACCATTTGAATCCAGATATTAGAGTATATATATTTATAAAAGCAAAAGGTTTACAAGTGTACTATATTATAGATTTCATTTTTGAACTTATGTTTATCCAAATGTTCACTTGTACTCCTTAAAAATTTATTTCTCCTATTTATAGTTCAGAGATTCAATAAAATAAACTACACAAAAAATATGTACATTCTAACTTTGTTTATTCTTATAAGAGAAAAAAGGTGCATTGCTGTTACTTAAGACGCAACTTTTACAAGTAATTGAACCTATTGATATAATAAATGAAGTAAATGGGTACACACTTATCGAAGTTTGTAACACATTCAAATTTCGATTCATCACTTCATTTGTTCATTTTAATACAACTATATTTTGAGTGTTGTTCTAAATACACTCAATACTTTTGATTTTTCAAAATGACATCCTATTCACCTACTTTTGCAATGAAATATATTTCATCATGCAATCGATTGTTCTGTGTTTTTTTTTAAGAATATGGTTTAAAAGTTTATTTTTCTTACGTTTGCCATCTATATCTGTATCTAACACATTTTATTTTACCAAAGGGAATCTGAATGATGTGACAGCAAATAAACTTTTTGAGCAGTTGACATCACTTTCTCAATCGGTCAATAAGCGTTTGGACTTACTGTCACAGTGAGTTGTTTAATATTTATTTGTTTCCATGTTTAATAATTTAGTCTCCATAGTTTTTCGTATGGATTATTACTATTGAAGTTCACTCTGTTATACGTAAGCGAATCAAGTTCCGAACATATATAAATTTAGGGAAACAAATATTTCCAGATGAATAATTCTAGGTGATTTCTGCAAAACTTTTACCCGGCTGCTGACCATTTAATTTGTTTATGCTCATATCCAAAGTAAATGTGCTGATTATTAACTGAAATAAATTTAAAATTAATTAATCCATTATCACCGTGGCAACTGAGATAATTACAAATCAACTGAAGATTCCTTATGTGTTTATTATAAGTCATATACTATATCTTCTTCAACATATAATTTTTTCGTCCCCCTGACTAAATTTGTCTGAATTTTTTTGCAGAAAATATTGTTCATTTGATTTGTCATATTACGGAACAGTAGATTTATCTTAAGTTCAGCACCAAACGTGTTTACCATACTTTTCTGTGGTCTCCACCGCAGTTATTATCACTATCTGAAAGTTAACATTTTTGAAGTAATAAAAAAGTAGGCTTTATGAAGGACCTCACTGCACCAAACTTCTTAGCGTAATTGCATTACTCGAAACTGTAGATTTTTGCTACTGACATTGACGACTACAATATCGGTTGCTATTGTTTTTTTCTTCAAACATTTTAGTAGTGTACACTTTTGTCTGTAACAGACAATATGATTTCAAATATAGAAATCTATGCGGTTTGTGTTAACAAGAACGGAAAATTCACAACCTCAAAGTCATTCTCTGATTTCCCAGTGGTTCTATAGCTTATTTTTGATCGATGAAAATCATCCTTTCTAATATCATATATTCCAGAAGTTATAAGTAAAGTAGACTAAATTTTTTGATGAATTTCTTATTAATGAAATGTCTCTTCATTTTTTTGTTTTTTATAGGACAATTAAGGTTACCGATAATAGTTTAGTCAACTTAAAACAAGACTTTATCAGAAAATCGGGTATACTCAATTTACAACTTATTGAAATGAGAAATATATTTGATCATCATATCAATCAATGGAATCACTTTTACCTGAAATATAACCAATCTGAGCGTCTGTCCAATAATAAAGATTTTAACTTTGCTGATCACAATGCAGCATTTCGTATAGAAAGCGATCGTTTACTAAGGTTAGCCATTGAAGCAGCTAATCATAATATCGCAACTCAGTTGGATGAGCTACGTAGTAAAATCCTACAAGACCTTATAAAGTCCGATCTGCAAAGAAATATGAGTATTCAAAATATGTCAATATTGTTGAATAGTTTACGTAGTCAGTTAAGTTTACGTACTAAAGAAACACGAAATGAAGTTAGTTTTTTGTCATTTCTTTACATTATAGATTTATTTATTTATCCTCTATAACTGATATATGTTCATTAGATTTGGAAATATATATGTGCTAGTCTTTATGAAAGCCCAATAAATACTGAAAAAACAACCAAGTCTGATAATAGGATCACATGTCTAACCTCAAAATTTTAAACACGGGTTTCAAAAGATATAAATACTGAACTATTCATTGAAGATATGACTATTTTAGTGGCATAATATTGTTACTGATGTGCATAATATCTAAACAAAATAGTATAACTGATTTACTTATCAAACAATAATTGAAGGTGAGATTGAAGATCGCAAAACAATCAGTGATTCTTAATTTCCTACGTAGTAGCATTAGGATTCGATTAACTGCATGCTATTATTTTAAGCCTGATTGTAGACCAGAAGGGTATGTCGTTGTAATCTGACTAAGATGGCATGTTAATTATTTTTATGTTACTGTATGCATTAAGAATCCCATTTTGTCAGTAGTTTAATATCAATATACATAAAAATACTTCACATTACTACTCTAAAACTTATTACATTGAATAAGGACCTAACTTTATTTGAGGGTTTAAAAATGAACAAGCATTTTGATAAAATGATGATGCTCCATAAGCTATGAACTCGAAGGAACCCCCCAATAAAAATATTATTACACTCCTAATACACACTTAGTGTTAAAGATATACTAACGTTAATTATTCGTGCTAAGTTTGTCAACTGTTACACGTTTATGGGATCATGATTTTGCTTCACTAAGTTGAAAATATAGTACCATAGAACCTAAACTTCAGTAAAATTGTGATTGCCAGACCTTGGGTTTTTATTTTCTGTTTCTGGACAAAAGTAATAAGTTTTGCTAATTGAACGCTAGATTTGGTTCCTAAGCTCTTCCAGTAACCCCCAGGTTAGATCTACACAGTGACTTGAACACGAGAGAAAAGGCCTGAAATATATGCGGAACACTTTACTCCAAAGGTTCGTTTTTGTACGGAAAATACAGGGTTTTTATAGTATTTTAGATGTCCTTAGGTGTTATGATTGTTATTCGCTTGAATGCTATTACTGATGCGTCTTACTCAACGAACGAAGGATTAGTGACTCAGCGACTCGATAGCTATTCTGGTCCGTTGTCCTCAACTCTGCTAACTCGATCAAGAAGTCTGGGTAAGGTGTAGAAGTGTATTCTGCAGACACACAGCAGCTAACAAGTCAAGTCAAACACACAACTCACGCGTATTTATACAATATTTACAATCGATATTGTCATAGGAAAATTGTAAACACTAATCAATGAGTTCATAAATTGACCTATTTGCACATTAATCGATAGTTCATCAATTGACCTACTTGCACATCCAATTGATAGGTTCATCAACTGACTGCTATACAAACATTTAATCGATCAGTTCATCAAATGACTAGATATAGTAGCAGTATAAGTAATCATCCAATCAGAAACTCCACGTGACCTTTCACTTTCTTGATGTTTCTGGTAAAACTTCTAGTAACGCCGATTGGATAATATGCTTCTCTGTTTTCAGAACCTTTCTTGGCTTTTTTCGAGGAGTTTTCTGGATCTCCCCAACATAACAGTTTCACGCGTTCCCATACGGCGATTAACACTTAAATCGTGTTCAAACTCAGTGTTTCGTGGTTGTGTATACATCCAAATAATTATAAAAATTCATGTATGCTTTTATGTAAAATATATAAAGGAAGAATCTTCGATTGATTTTCAACCATCTGTTTTTTTTAATACTGTCTCTTGAAGTGTATCACCTCACTGGAATATTAAAAGTACTCGCCGAGATTTTTTCCTTTTTATGTTCCAATTCAACAATTTATCTGGTATTCCGTTCATTTGAATTCGTTTTCCATCCATGTTTTCTTTTAGCTTCATAGGCTACACTCGCAGTTGAGTATAAATAGTAATCGATCAAAGAAGTTTTTGGATTTTGAAAACAATTTACTTCAGTTGCAAAATAAAATCAATTTATTTACACTACGCATGTCTGATATAGAAAGGTTGAATGAAGAATCTAAGTCCACCTTTACATATATTAAGGATGGTAGGTTTTTCAAGATATCAATTTGTTATATTTTTCAATTAGACTGCATGAGTCTTTTATTATAAATTAGCTTTAACTGGAGGGTTATTAAAAATCAAGATGTCATTTAATATATCTCCCTAATTTAGAACTCCTTAATGGTGTACACTCGGCGATAACCATTTTTATTTAAAACCTGAGGAATCATAAAATTAAGAGTGAACGCCTAGTATTTAGTCATTATTTCTATCCAAGTGTACTAAAATCTTGTTACATTCTATGCCCTGTATCATCTGTTAAACAACCTTGGATATACAGTTTCTGATGTTATTATGTGTAATATGTGTTTAAAGGTTTTGTGTCAATATAAATTGTTTCTATTAATAAGGAATACTATACAGTACTTTTTGTCTTCAAATTATTATTGTGTTGTGGAGATTGAGATAGAACGTTTTGATTATGTTTGGAGCTTCACATCATGAGACACATTACATTTTCTCTTTTAATCCAGACCAACCAATCAGTACTAATATTACTTACTTACTTACGCCTGTTATTCCTCGTGAAGGAACATAGGCCGCTCACCAGCATTCTCCATCCAACTCTGTCCTGGGCAATCCTTTCGAGCTCCTTCCAATTTTTGTTCATCCTTTTCATATCTGCTTCTATTTCCCGACGTAATGTGTTCTTTGGCCTGTAACTCTTCCCGGTCCCAAGCCCGGGTAAAGGAGGAGGGTTGGGCATGGGGTTAGTGTTCCCATCCCGTAGAAAACTAACTCGCTAAAAAAACGCTTACCAGAAAAAATTATTCAAACCATTTAACCTCTACCCTGAAAGTTAGAAGGTCTTCATTTTGACGCTTCATGGTGAAAGCCGAGTTCCTTCAGAAGCCACAAGGTCGATGCCCCTTCTAACAACCAGAGCAAATATTTTTATAGGTACATGGAACGTCAGTACTAATATACCGTACATATTTAAATATTAAACTCATGGTGCTCAATATTATTAAACGTTTATTCACAGAATTGAAAAGGTGTTCAGGAAATGAAGAAATTAGGAAACATTGCCATGATGCAGTTATTGAACAGGTGAACTTTGCTATAACTAATCTCTCTCAGTCATTTTCAACTCAAGTTAAAGAAACTGTCCTGGAGGTAAGATTATTCTTGATTTTTTCTCACTTATCTAAGCAACAGATATTTACAGTTTTGTTTCCTGACCTTTTCATAGATATAGTATATCTAGACTACCTTGTAGTATTATTTATGTTTCAACAGATGGTGTTTTGGCAAGAACTTAGTCACTTTCAAAATCTGCACTAAAATATTTTGTTCGTTTTTTACCGGCCATTCTCGTCGTGTTCACGACTGATAGTATATAGTGCGTATTATCACCCAACTTTATCTTCAATTCTCCAGATAAATATTTTAAGTAACGTTTTCAGTTCTGCGAAAGTATAGACAAACATTCCATCATAGCTAATGCTCAGTTCAATACAAACGGGTTGATAAGGGGCCTATCTAATAAGATTGATCGTGCTTTTACGAACGATACTATTGGAGACAAGGTGAGGCTAATAAGCAAAACATTGATGGGGAATGGGTATCTTTTAAAAGTCATAGATCATTGGAAAAGTTGTTGTGTAGTAAGGCCTACCACATGTCTGGTACCAAAAGTCTGTCTATATCAGCCTACCTTCAGAGGCGAGTTAAATAGTTTTGTGTTAAAATAAAGACTTAAATCAGTTGTTGGTAAAACGCAACATGCAACAAAAGTCATCATTTTGAAAGAAAAAAGTTTATGTTTTACCAAAAACCTAAGCGGCATGTAAACAATTGTGTTACATCCTACTTTTTTATCAATTTGTGGCCACACATCATAGGGATGATTAAACATGATTTAGTTAGTTAGGATCTCTGAACATGTATTGAAATGGTTGTGGAAACGAATAAAATCAAACGACCTAATGAAAGTAAATGGCAAAATTCCATCTCCCTCCACTGCTAAACACATAGTTGAAACAGTTTATAAGATTGATCCTAACCTTTGTAAAAGTCTTCTAGGCCGTATGCTAAGGTTCACTGAAGCCTTTCCCAAAAGCAAATTCATAAATAGTTCGTTTTAATCTTAAAGCACCTACTCTAGTAATACTGTTTTCTCCTATATATCACATACTTCTGATAATCTTCGCCTTATTACACTATTCAAATTTATCGAACAGACTAATTATCTCACATTCCATTTGTCTAGTTGACCTATTTTTCACATAACTTAACAAGTGTATGTGCTATCAGACTTTTCGAAATATATCGCGCTAGTATATCACATAGATCTATGGACCTTCGTTTTCTTATTACATTGTCTACATAGTTCTCAGAAGTTACCCGTAATTTAATCTTCACCAGGATATAACATCTCCCTTTTTAAAGATTCGAAGTTTGGATTCCGATTTTAAAAGAAAATATGTAACTTTAAATTCTCTGACTGGAAATGACTAGGTGGTGATGATGAACGACATTTGATTTGTTAAGGGTCTCATTAATGAATAATGGGTCACTAGGAAAATCAGAATGCAACGAAATTGCATTAGATTTTTTATCATGATTTGATTCATCCTATACATATTTTCTCATTTTTGTAAGAAATTCCATCAAAATTATGAGCATCATTAGGAGAACTCATATCTAGTGAATTGACGCGAGAAATCGGATAAGAATTTGGTTCACTATAAGTTTCCGTCTCCCAATGGTTTTGAGTTTCATTTGGTACAATTGGGTTCATCGTACTGCTCCCTTTATTTTCTGGATATGAGTCCCTCCAGCTTTCTCAATCAATATCATGTTAACCATGATTTTGTTCTGGTTGGAGTTTATTTTCAGAGTTAGGCAGGGTCAATAGTGCTTCATTTAATTCTGGACATGTGGCTTCATTTACTGGATTTTCTGTTTCTTGGTCATCTGGTGTTGTCACAACTTCATGTGCATTTGAAAAGATATTGTCCTACTGTGAGCCAGACAAACTTTACATTTTGCTTCAGGTATAATCGGGATTTGAACCCTCCATATGTCACTCTTCTGAAATGGCCATTACTGTACCATTGTCTGCATCATAAATAAATTCTTTATTTTCTGGAATATCTAGTTGAGTGAAAAGTCTCCCCAAAATTGCTTCAAGTAGTTGCTGTCGAAAGGCTAATATCTGATGTTGCCGCTGTAATAATAGTTGTAACTGTTACAAAGAAATTGCCATTCTTTTTTACTGCCAATAATAATCTTAACTCTAACTTGTTGGCATTTCGCTTTTTATAGTTTTAAATGTGTAACGATTTTCTTCTAGATCTTTTAGTAGTCCATTACAATAAACACTTTAGGGAAGTTTCGAAACATCTATTTTTTAACAATAATTCTTTGATAACTAATTTATTATTAATAATTCTTGATAAGTACATAACTAATTGCAAGACGGTTAACAGCACGAGTGTTTTATTTTAACTGTATTTGTGTACGTTTGTCTTTGTAGCAGTGCATGTGGTTTCGTTTCTATGCTTGTCTTCATATCTAACTTTTCTTTTAAATAGACAATAATCAATGAATTAAGGGATAGTGATAGTATGGAAAGTGCACTTCTCACTTACTTTAGACAAGTTATATCTACGCTGGCAAGAGAATCCGTTGATAAATTAATTTACAGTAAGTTCTTTATTGATACCAAAGTTTGACTGAATAATTTCAAATAAACTGAACATTGGATACAATGTTATTGGTAAAATAACGACATCTTTGTGACATTCTAATTAGTAGAAATGTGAATTTCTGAAGTTTTGTGACTTGATTGTTTATTTATCTACTCTGAAATGGCTTATACTAAGTTACAAAATGTCAGAAATTCAGTTTCTGCTTATTGGGATATTATAAATATACTATTATTTTATGATTAAGATCATTGTTGTTTTTGATTAGTTGTCTGTTTCAAGTTTCATGGTATATCTCCTGGCGCACTCGCTTAAATCATTCTACTGTTTGTGGATATGCAACACAATTGTTTACAATACTAAGATGAGAAATTTTGTCCACATGTCAGGTAATCTTAGGACCATAGACTCTTATTTGTGGTTCACCGTAGTATATGAATGAAAGCAATCACAAGTCTTCCTAGTATCCCAGTGAAATGTGCATAACATTTTTCGGTTGATTTCTTGAGGTTATTGTCATTCACTCCTTTTAAAAAGTTGTTTAAGTAACTATAATAGTGGAGTTATTTTCATTCTTATTTGATAAAATATATTTCACTTGCCATCAGAATTAAATAGATATGTGATAGATTATTCAGTTTACTTGTCGATTTTTATTTAATACTACAGATAGAAAATACTTCTAAACTAAATTGTTTCTTAACCATAGTGTATTATATATATATATATATATATATATATATATATATATATATATATATATACTTTTGTAGCGACAGTCAACTCAGGTAGGAATATTTCCTCAATCGTTTGGTTATTTTATTCGCTTAGTCTTATAAACCCTACCACTTAGCTGTTTTCTCACACTTTAACCTATGGCTCACAATCAATACTTGGTAGTTCTGAACAAACACAGGGGCTAGGAATTTGATATCTGTCTGCAGTCGTCAACTAATCATCGTTTGAGTTCATCTACTCATATATATGCAAGGATGATTATCAGGTATTTCTGATTTTGACAGTTTTTTTTATAAAAACGAAGTTTTCGCATAGTGATTATTTTCTTTTGAGAGCTTCATTTCGAGGTTTTATTTATTTTTCGTAGATCGTCATTCGGAATTGATCCCACATTCACTTGAAAATAAAGCAACTTTAGCTAAAATGATCGATGAAGCTCTTCATCGATTTGCAGCTGATAGGACCGGTCTTACAGATTATGCTTTAGAATCATCTGGAGGCTCTATTGTTGGCACGCGTTGTACAAAAACATATACTGAAGGTGCATCATTATTAAGTATTTTTGGCTTGCCTTTAGTCCGTCTTAGCAATTCCCCTCGGTAAGTTGTGTATTTTTATTTTTATGATACACTTTTTCTCTCGTTCTAATGTTTTAAAGTAATGTCAGTTTTAATTAGAATTGGAAACATTTCCCAGATAAAACAGTCGAAAAATTTCGATAAATCTGTGCATTCAAACTGTTCTTATAGTTTTTAAGCACAACACGTTTTCGAGCATGAAACCTCGATGGCCTTTTTATTTCTACTGAATAGTTCCATAAATATATTGTTTTCTGCTTTCATCGACATATTCACTTATTTTCATTTACATCATGAACATACTGGGAATAGACGTCGATACTGTCTAGTGCCATAGTTTGAATGATCGCTTTTCTCATTACGTGTTTACAGAACAATCCTACAACCTGGTAGTAATCCTGGGGACTGTTGGCCATTTCACGGAAGTAAAGGTCAAGCTATCATTCGTCTATCGTCTCCAGTTATTATCAGTTCGGTGACTTTAGAACACTTACCAAGGGAACTCGCGCCAAATGGAAGATTGGACTCAGCTCCGAGAGATTTTCTTGTGAAGGTGAGTGGATTCACACAGTTGGTGTATATTTTCTGTCGATATATCAATTGATTAATGACTACGTTTATTTCAGATTACTGGAATGGATCATTGTAAGAGTAAAGGCAATAGTCTATTTGTATCGTTCCGGTTTTTATTCTAAGGTGTGCATGGATTTTGAGTTATAATTCGATTTAAAATGAGTTGGATTATCCACTCCCGACCGTTGTTGCTACCTTGACGTGGTGGTTGGGCTTGCCTATCGTGATGAAGCAACCGAGCTATATTGGCTGGAACAACCGTTCCTCAAGGTCCTACCATGTCAGACAGGTCGGTTGAAGAGCGGTAAGACTAAAAGCAACAAACCTAAGGTCCGAAGGCGAAGTCGTACTGCTGACTGTACAGAGGTGTGACGGCAGTAAGGTGTTTCCTTCAGACAACCAGCATGACAGCGATGCTGCCTTCCCACAAGGAGGGGTGGGGTTAGAAAAGGTCGACCCTAAAAATGCACACCTCACCTTACCACACGGATTTCTGTTTCCGGCGGTAAGGCTCTTTGAAGAAAGGAGCTAACACGTCAAAATCCTCCCACGAAAAGGCCGTACGTGACCGGCCTCAAGCAGTTGTACCTTGGGCACTGCGGTCACGCTCTCAGGTCGCTGAGACCGCCTCTCATCCAATTTCCTTTTCAGGTACCTCCAGAAGAACCCTTCCACGGTGTGGGCAACCGGGAAGTGATAACTGCCCACATACCTCTAACAGCACCCAAGACCACTGTATTCATAATCAACCTTCCTCTTCAATTCCTATTATTCCTCCTACATCGACTTTCAACCCTAAACTTCCTCCTTCGGCTTCTCCCTCAAGTGTCACCATAACCAACGATTCTAGTGCTCAAAACTCTGTCCCAGGTCTACTGAAACCTCGCTCCAAACTACACATTGGAGCTTTCAACGTACGCACTCTATATCAAATTGGTCAGCAGGCTTCCTTGGCTAAAACCCTAGAGTCTCTTTCCATTGATGTGTGCTGTGTCTCCGAAACACGCATACAGGATTCCAGTGTGGTCATTCACCTGACCTCACCTCGGCAAAACGGAGAGCCAACGAGATACACCCTGCGTGTATCTGGTGACCCGATGGCCAGTTCTCGTGGACTGGCAGGTGTAGGCATAGCACTAAGTATGAGGGCCGAACAAGCACTGCTAGAGTGGATCCCCATCAACAGTCGTCTAAGTGCTGTTCGGTTAAACGGCTCCGTAAGAACTCGGATGGATAGGGATACACGTCGTTGCCTTTTTGTCATTTCTGCCTACGCTCCCACTGACTGCAGCTCAGATGATGTGAAAGATGAATTTTAGCATTCCGGCACAGCGAACAAATAATGGTGACCGTCTGCTGCAACTGTGCTCAGACAATCGCTTATTTTTAGCAAACACAAATTTTAAGCATAAGGAGAGACATCGTCTAACATGGCGACCCCCTACACCAAACCAACGATGGACTCAAATAGACCATATTGCCATCAGTCATCGTTGGAGAGGGTCGGTAGAAGACTGTCGCTCATTCTGGAGCACCTGCTTGGACTCCGACCACGCCCTAATACGGGCACGCATCTGCTTGCGCCTCACCGGACGCAAAAAAGCCACATAGAAAAGACCCATTAGAACTGAGTTGAGTAACGAGAAAACCAAAAATAGGTTCCAAGAACAATTGAGTTCACACTTAGGCAGTTCTGAAGACGAGGCTGACCCAGATGTTCCTTGGAAAGGCATACAAGCAGCTGTGGAAGCAGCAGTGACATCTATTAGCAACTTAAACCACAGAGTTACAAAGAACCAGTGGATTTCTTCAAAGTCTATCACACTGATGGATTCTCGCAAACTCGTCCCATCAGGTTCCCAACATGATGAAGAGCGACAACAAATCAGATCTAGGTTCAGAAAAAGTCTAAGAAACGACCGAGAGCAGTGGTGGGCAACGAAAGCGAAAGAAAAGGAAAAGGCGGCGACTATAGGGAACACAAGACAGCTCTACAGACTAATAAAAGAAACTGGAATTAATAAGTCAAGTGTAAGTGAGATTATATCGGAAAAAGACGACACACTTATCTGCTCCCAGTCCAGACGTTTAGAACGATGAGCGGAACATTTCAGAGAACAGTTCAGCCGGCCTTCAGCTACTCTACAACTACCCTCCATTCCCAGACAATGTGAATGGAACATTGAAGTAGGTCCCCCAACTCTTGCTGAAGTTCAAAAGGCTATAGATAATCTGAAACGAGGAAGGGCAGTTGGTCCAGATGGACTGGTTCCAGAAGTCTTTAAGGATGGTGGTCCAATTTTAGCGATTAGGTTAACTAATATTTTAGCTAAGATCTGGGAGTTAGACGTTATCCCATCTGACTGGTCACAATCACTTATCGTCCCAATGCATAAGAAAGGATCAAAATCATCTTGTGACAACCACAGAGGGATTAGTTTAAGAAATATAGTATCTAAAATACTATCCTCGATAATCATCACACGCCTAACTAAGACACGTGAACTACAAACATGAGAGAACCAAGCTGGCTTCAGACCTGGTTGTGGCTGCATCGACCACATATTCACCATTCGTCAGGTTCTAGAACACAGGCATACTTATCGGCGTCCGACAATGGTGGTGTTTCTTGACTTAAAAGTAGCATTTGACTCGGTAGACCGCGAGATTCTGTGGCAGTGTCTGTCATTGAAAGGCGTACCCCAGAAGTACATAAACCTTGTAAAGCCTCTTTACTCGAACAATAGTCGAGTGAGAGCTTATGGTGAACTGTCATCTACTTGTGCAACCTCAAGTGGTGTCCGTCAAGGCTGCGTCATCATAAACCTACTGATGGAAATAACATTCTCGTCGACTGAGTTCTCGAGTATTGATCTCCTTCCAGGAGGTCCACTTATCGACTTAGAATACGCAGATGACATAGTCCTGTTTGGTGAAGACGCTGACAAAATGCAGAGTCTTCTGGTAGCACTGAGCAACAATGCCAGGATGTTTGGAATGCGCTTCTCTCCCTTCAAATGCAAGTTGTTGCTTCAGGACTGGTCTGCATTAACGCCTGAACTAAGGATAGGGAGTGAAGTAGTCGAACGCGCTGACAACTTCACTTATCTTGGAAGACTGATCAGCTTTAATGAGTTGGTGTCTGACGAAATCTCAGCACGGATTCTAAAAGCTCGCTCGGCTTTTGCCAACCTACATCACCTGTGGCGAAGGCGAGATATCCGTCTATCAATAAAAGGACGAGTATACTGCGCGGCAGTCCGTTCTGTTTTAATTTACGGTAGCGAAACATGGCCATTAAGAGTAGAAGACACTCGTAAGTTATTAGTATTCGACCATAGATGCTTTAGAAATATTGCTGGCGTCTGCTGGGATAACCGGGTAAGTAATAGTGAGGTTAGACGCAGGGTATTAGGTAATGATGGTAAATCAGTTGATGAGGTTGTTAATCTTCATCGACTGAGATGGTTGGACCACGTGTTACGTATGCCTGAACACCGATTACCACGAAGTGCAATGCTATCCGGTATTGGAAATGGTTGGAAGAAAGTTAGGGGCGGCCAAACCAAAATGTGGCATCAGTGCTTGAAGTCACTAACCTCTAGTCTGAGCCATGTTGGTAGATGCAGACTACTTGGTTGGTGTCCGCGTGACTATCGTAACCGATGGTTGGATACTCTTGGTGACATGGCTCAGAATCGATCACAATGGCGTCGGTGTATACACTCCCTGTCTTCCCTTAAACTAAGAGATTAAAATTCGCTTCATATCTTTCTTTCTACTAACCAACTCTTTCTTCTTGTACTATATCTCTATATGCAATCTTTCTCTTATATATTACCACCTTTTACCTAACCACTGTTATGAATCCGGTGTTCATCTTGTTGTGCTGATGCGGTATGGCAACCTGGACCGATGCACACATGTGCCTGGTTGTAGCTGACTGACTGACTGGATTATCCACTTGTTATTTTTGACTGAAATCTGATCAATGTCGTTTGGGATATGAGCATCCTATGAGAATCACTCGGAGTGAATATCAACGAGAGAAAACCCGCGACCTGGATTCCACTTCTAGCCATATCCCATCTACTTTATATCACCGTCTGAGTTGGTTTTTATTTCCATGAATAATAAGTGTTTTTGATTGTCTAGTATTAAGAAAATTGAAGTTCAATGAGTATAGTGTTATTACAATATCATTTCCTCATCAATGATCGATCTACTGATGATCGAGAACCTTCATGATCCAAAAATAAATGTAAGTGTTGTCTAGAGGCCAGTTATCTTAAGAAAGTATATTTTACGGTGATCATTCTTTTAGAAAAGATTCTTCTTTGTAGTCATTTCTGTTCAATTGTTAGGGTTAGTATTTTTGTATTTTACCTCAAGAATAATTATTAGCGAACGCTGTGTAAACGTGGATTTTCTTTATTTTACGATTTTAGGCACTTCAATCAGAATTTGATGATGGGGTAGTTTTGGGAGAATTTACCTATGATGTGGATGGTAGACCTATACAAAATTTTCCTATAAGGGCAAGTTTAATTAATTATCATATAAGACATGAAACTTACGGACACGTGTTTCTATAAGCTTTAACAGAGATTTAAAAAGGATTATAGGAATACGTAACCAACTGAATGGACATTTTTTGATTGAGAGTTTTGTTCTTCATAATGTTCATTGTTTGTAAGACAAAAAGGGTGCCCAGTGACCGTTGGTAATCCAGTTTGTATCATTTCGTAGTGGGATCTACCGTAAATAAGTCGGGGATGGCAATAGTGCATAATAAAGCTATTGTTTTTTTTTAATCAAAGTACACAGATATATCTGAACTCACTGACCCTAGGATGCCGAGAAACCAAGGTTAGCCTGTCGTTACATCTTACTGTGTTAGTCTTCAAAATATATTTACCATGAGCAAGCTAAAAGGTTACAAGTTTTATGTTTGATGCAATAACATCAAATCAATTTCGAATTAAAATGCCAAGAACAAGTCAAAATTATTCTCTGCCATGTATTTACAATAAGTATACAGGAAGTGAGGAAATCAAACTTAGTTTTGAATTAGATTAGTGAATCTGCCTAATCAACGTCCTGTTATTTTGGCACTAATAAAAGATTCTACATCGATTGTAGGCAATTAGGTTATCACGATATGCCAAGAATTAACCATAATATTATTACCTTCACTTTTCGTTGTCATTCGTTCTGTCGTTCCTGGATTATTCCCTTTATCTTATCATTCGAATTGGCGGACAACAAACATTTCTTTGTCAAACAATGAATAAGCTTAACAAAAGAATGTTATGCGTTCATTGGGCTCAGATGGGAAGATATAGTATGAAATAGTGCGACTAGTTATTTGTATGGTCGATTAGTAACTTTAACGAAGATTATTGAGATTAAAATCAGTTATACGTATATAAGATTACAGAATAAGTTGACTGATTCTAAGGATTATTGTATGGCTAATCGAGTATTGCATCTTCTCACACTTCCGTCTCAAACTCGCGCTTCAAAATAATGCGAAAAGTACTGAAATCTTGTGGACGACTCATTCAATAATAATCTTTTGAGATGGTCAAAGGTTTTTTGTGTCACTGTTGACTAGGAGATAAATTTAAGATGTACATAAGAGCAATAGGGATGATTATGTTGGATCGGTCAGGCCGCCGGAATATATCAATTCAAATTATTTATATGGAATTCTTGCATGGTATCATACAGAATAGAAGTGAAATTACTCTTAGGTCAAATTATCACGGAGTTACGTGGTAATAAGAGCTGTACATTTATACACAGGGGATTCAATAACTTTTCTGAACCAGACATTCAACTCTTAAATGCCATATGTACAATTAAGTCAATACAATTAGTTTGCATGGTATGTGGAACTTACATAATTCTTTATTTGTTTCCTTAGGAATATTCAAAACCTGTCCAATTTGTCGAGCTTGTCATATTGAGTAATCACGGACATCCTAAATATACATGTATTTATCGCTTTCGAGTTCATGGCAATATGATTATATGATAGAAATTCAGCAATACTTTGTAGGTGCATATACGTAATACATCATCCTTCATACTGTTCTGTACACACTGTGCAATTACTGTTTTACAGACGAAATGATTCCTATACCTTCATGTCGTCCTCCTAATCAAACGTTTTACTCTGTATTTAAGTATTTTACACATATAACATCTTAAACTATTTGATTTTCTTGCTTGTTTTATGTTTAAATATATTTGTTATGTTGTAACCAATACTTCTCTATAAATTAGTTAATACGACGCAAAACTTTAAAAAAAATTTTCTTAAACTGCAGACTTAAAAAAATGCATTTTCGATAACCAAAGAGGTGTATTTGTTTTGAAAACAAACTCGTATTGCAATAATGTAAAGTCCCATACACTAAGTTAAGTGCAAATTACCTCTCAGTTTATTTACTTTTAAAGATAATTTTCCCATGGTCACCATGATTGCTCGCCTATGTAAGCGAAAGTAGCATAAGTGGTTCGCCAAGATAAAGAGAGTACTCGATTAAAGTAAAGTGATGGTGAACAGTTGACTAATGAACTTGACGACAAACGAAATATTTATTCTGAATGTTAATCAGGTTGTTATACACATTATCGCAAACTGAGCACTTTTATGATTACAATACTTAGTTTTTCATTAGCGTCAAGTCTCGGATGAAAGAAGACTGTGAAATATCTTTACACTACCTTGAAGCTTTTTCGACGTGGTGATCGTAATTGCTTATCGCGATGAACCAGACGTGTTATACTGGCTGGAACAATCGTTCCTCAAGTTCCTACCATGCCAGACAGGTCTGTTGAAGAACGGTAAGATTAAAAGCAGCGAACCCAAGATCCGAGGGTGAAGTCGTATTGCTGAATGTACAGTGTTGTGACAACCGTAAGGTGTTTTCCCCAAACAACCGGCGCAACGGCGATGCTGCCTTGCCACAAAAGGGTGTGGTTAGAAAAGGCCGACCTTAAAAAGACACACCATACCCCACGGATTTTCGCCTTGGGCGGTAAGGTCTCATCAGGTACAGAGCCAACACAGCAATTAGCCACTAAAAGGTCGTGTGTGACCGATCTCAGACAGCTGTGCATTGGGCACTGTGTCACACTCTCAAGTCATCAAGACTATCCCTAACGCAATTTGCTTTCCAAGTACCTTCGGAAGAGCCCTTCCACGGTGTGGGCACCTGTAAAGTGATAAACGCCCTCACAGCACTCAAGACCATTGTATTTATAATCGATCTACCTCTTCGATTCCTATTATTCTTCCTACATTCAAACTTCCTCCTCAGGTGTCACCGTGGACAGGTCTACTAAAGCCTCGCTACAAAATTATATATTGGAGCCTTCTATGTCGAATCAGCCAGCAGAACTCCTTGGCTAAGACCCTAGAAACTCGTGTCATTGATGTATGCTGCGTCTCTGAAACACAAATGCAGGATCCTAATCTGGTCATTCACTTGACCTCACCTCGCCAAAACGGAGAGCCGACGAGATACATCCTCCGTGTTCCTGGCGACACAATGGTTAGTTTTTGTGAACTGGCACTTGTAAGCATAACCTTAAGTACGAGGCCAGAACATGCACTATTAGAATGGATTCCCGCTGTCCGGTTGAACGGCTCCGTAAGATTTTGAAAGGATAAAGACACATCGTTGGTTTTTCAACATTTCTGCCTACGCTCCAACTGACTGCAGCTCGGATAAAGTGAAAGATGAATTTTACAGAAATATTTCCGAACTTCGAAAAGCTGGACACTCAGACAGGTGACTTTAATGCCTACGTAGGTTGCCTCAACTAAACAGAAAGACATTCAATGGGTATTATAGTATTCCGGCTCGGAGAACAGGTTATGGTGATCGTCTGTTGCAACTGTGTTCAAACAATCGTACATTTTAAGCAAGCACTAATTTTAAATATAAGAGAAGACATCGCCTAACATGGCGACCGCCTGCACCAAACTGACTGATTGAAGTAGACTATATCACCATCAGTCATCGGTGGAAAGGCACTATTGGATACTGCAGCTTATTCTGGGATACATGTTTGAACCCTGATCATGCTGTGATACGATCAGGCATTCAGTTGCGCCGTACTGGACGCAGAAAACCACATAAAGAAGACACATTGGACGTGGACTCAGTCACGAGGAAGATAAATTCCATGGACAACTGAAGTCAAACTTGGGCAATTTTAAAAACGAGGCGGAACGAAGATAGCTTCGAACGTTATACGGACAAGTGTGAAAATTGCAGCAAAACGTGGCATAGTAAATAAAATGACTAAATTCTGGTTTGATCCATGTGGGTAGATGCAGATTACTTGGTTGGGGTCCGCGCGACTATTGTAATCAATGGTTGGAGACTGCGTGACATCGCTCAGGATCGATCACAAAGGCGAAAGTGTGTAAAATTTTGCCTTCCCTTAAAATGAGATTAAAACAGCTTTATACATTCCGCGTCTACGAACGAATTCTATCTAGCTATATATTACTCTTATATGCAGTCTTTTTTATTACTGAATTGCTGAATTTGGTGTACGTTTTGTTTTTTACGTTAGTTTTAACCTGGTTAACAAGCCATTCGGCATTAAAAATTTTCACGTTACGCTGAGAAGACGTAAAGATAACACACAGGAACAGAAAAATATACTTTCATCTTAACACGTCACCAATCAATCGAATTAGGAAAATACGTTGGAAGTGAATAGGATATACATTACGGCTCGTTTTATTACCCGAACGCTGACAGAGGCTCTACTGGCTGTTACAACTGAACTCATTGACACCATAGTAGAAGAAGTAATGACAGAAGCGGTTTCAGGAAAATCGCATGTTCTACCATTGGAAGACTCTTCATCTGTTGAGATAAAATCCCCAATTCTAGGTAATTGGATAGCATTTGTTTTTTTGTTCTTTGTGTAACTAGATTGATTTGTTATATTTAATCACAACTTAATTGTTTGGAACACTTATATGGTCCCAATTATTAACTAAGTAACATGTTCTATGGGTTGAATTGAGCTATTATTCATCTCAGTGATTCATCGCCTGAGATTTTGTATTTGTATTTTACTTCATATTTAACCAGCAGTACTTGGGAATGCAAACGCTTATCTGTTTTTTAGTTATTTTTTGTCAAGGTTTCTTAAGCGCTACTTAACAGACATATTATTTAGCTTAGTGAGTGAGGAGGCTAGACTCTCAGATCCTAATCAATACAAACAAGGATGTTTGACACTTCGGCTTCAGCTAAGTATTTTTATGATTATGTAGTGTGCTAATAACTTATATCTAGTATCAACTTTTAAAATGTATAGGTTAATAAAGGGCAACCAAAATTATTTTTTCTGCGAGATTTACGGACTCTCCACCTTCAACACATTAACATCAGGTGAATTTAAGGTATCGATCCTATGGCTGGTAAACATGAGATTCTTCGTGAAACGAATCCTTGTTTGTGTAATCCTTAACCGTGCTGGTTTTTACAATCATACACTAATCTAGCTTGAATTAGATGCGGTTTTTGAAGTAGTCTTGGTCGATAGCCAAACTTCAAATTTGATCGTTGGATAAAGCTGTAAGATTCATGCTGCTCTGCAAGTAGTTCGTAAATCGAACGGAAACCGTATATCTGTCAGTAATTAACACTAAGTTTAATCGCTCATCGGAGGACGACATCTTTCAAACAAGGTGTGATAGATCATAATGATTTTCTTCGAAATGACTACTAAACAGCTTGAGTTAAATCAAGATGAATCGCCCTCAGTTCGCACTGCAATTTCGGATCTTGTGTATCCGACGGATTAATTTACCACGATAAATTCCTGAAACACGTCAATGTTGCCTAAATAGTGACCGATTTCATTGAGTCTCACGTCGGTACTGATGCACTTTTCGAATTAGTTTCTACGCATGAGAACATGTTAGTGACTGGATATTTGCTGTGATTAAAATGTCTCAAGGTGACCACAAATAAAGATTGTCGGAGTAATACTAAATCCTGTATTGTTGAGTATTACCAATGTACTACAGACCAGCAACCGTAAGACCGTCTATTGATTTTTAAGTTCCTTTCCAAAAACGACTATCACGAAATAAACGCAATATTCGTATTGAAACGGTTTTGATTATTCCGCTTACTACAATAGTAGTACATCTCCACATTATTGCGAATTTGTGAGTAACAAGCACTTAAGAGCCGTCTGGTTTTTTAAATCGAAAGTGGTTTTCGTGACTGCTTATTTTGGATGTCAGCGGGCATTACTGCAGCCAAATTATTCATCAAAATGACCTGAGCAGACACAAAGTCGATCATCTGCAATTTCAAAGAATAACCTGCACTAAGAATATTAATCTGTAGTAGTCTTATTTTGCATATCTTGCCTTTCTAGTTTCCTCGATTACGGTTACAAAACTCATCTATTCTCCTGAAATAGATAATTGATCATATACACTTAACAAAATTTTGCACGGTGAAGGCTTTTGTGACAGTCATAAATTAAGCCTTAACACATCCAATATAACAACAGACGGACGAACAATCTGCAGTAGATAAATTTGTAGCTGTAATCATGATAGTGTTACATTGTTAGTAGTTCGCTTATTGAAATATTGACGAGATTAACATATCTTTAGCAATATATATGTGTCCGATTTGGGGCGTAACCCCGATTGTAGCTAATTTGGGGTTACCACCGACCGCAATTCCGGATAAAGGAGGACGATTCAGCATGAAGTCAGCGCCCTCATCCTGGAAAAAACAACTTCAAATAACTTGGGCTCTACCCCGAGGATGAAGTATCTTCATTCAGTAGAATTATGAGGCCTCATAGTGAAAATCACGACTCTTCGCAAAACACGTGGCCGATGACCCACATAACAACCAGAGCAATAATTAGTATAGGTACGCGGAATGTTCGGATAATGTGGAGGGCTAGTCAAATAGTTGTGTAGATGAGGAAATACAACTGAGCGGTGCTCGGAATAAGTGAATTCCAAAGCACCTAAACCTGATAGAAAAGCATATATTCGAAAGAGATGCTGCTGTTCTCTGGCCACAAAGAAAATAGCCTACACACTCAGGGAGTTGATCTGATGCTGTACAAAAAAGAAAGAATTGCGTTTATAGAATAAGAATATCAAAGATCCAGAATCATCAGTGCATCCTTCAAAACAAAGAAGGAAAGGATCACAATGAATCTCTTCCAGTGTTATGTACCCACCAGTG